CAGCCGGCTCCGGAGCCGCGAGATCCCCTCAGGGTTGTCAGGAGATGCTGCAAAGCCCGAAGTCGGGCAGACACCCCCCACCATTACCCTCCCTGTGTCCTTTGCCGCTGCCTGGTGGGCGCCCCCGGGCCCCAGCTCCTAGCGGGCTACCCCGTTACGCTCCAGATAAACCTGCTGGGTTTATGAGGTACATCGCTTCGACTGCCTTTTTTGGGGTTTGAATGTTTGTAGCGATAGTGGTTTGTAGCGCCTGTATTGTTTTTGACGTGCAAACAGTCGCGCAGTCTGATACAAAGGTATGATTTTTTTATCCGGTGAATGGAATGGAATAGCGCAGCGCCCTTAAAGCTGAGTGTTGCCTTACGCTTATCAGAAAGCTGTTCCTTGTTTCCCTGAAATACCAGTGCTTAGTGTAAACTAAAAAAAAACAAAACAAAACCCAAAAAACCACAAAAAACCCTGCCCAACCCCCCAGAAAAAAAACTGTGCTTTTTCTTAAAAAAAAAAAAAAAAGAAAAACCCTTGCTGAAAGAGCACAGTGTATAGACCTTAAAGAAGGTTTGTATTCTGTAGTGATTCATGAGCCTTGGGAAAATGCAGTTTAATTAATTTAAAATTAAAAGGGATAACTTGGAAAATGAGTACAAATTTGCACTGTGAAATGTAGATATATTCTGTTACCTCCCTTTAGGTTGGGCAGTAGAAACAGTCTAGTTGGTTTGGGTCCTGGAGCAAATATTCCAGGAAAAAGTGTGTTAGAAAAATCTTTGCTTCTTAGCTCACTTTTAAACACTGTGGTTCTCCAACCCTGTAATACCTTGCTGACACCGAGCTAGAGTACACACAAATCAACCAAGAAGTGGGTGTCCTTTTAGAGGGTGTAGAGTGTGGTGAAATATCATAAAGAGCTGTTGCCTGTGATGCAAGCTTCCTGTAACCAGGCAAATACAGCGTAGTTATCATTCGGCGTAAGAAATTACAGGTGAAATGAGAAATAACTGCCCATCAGAGGACAGCGGTTAATGGGTCTTGCTCTACCTGCGTGCCTGTGACAAGTCCAGTACTGCTAGGGTATATTCTGAGACTTGTCCTTTTTAACGTCTCTATCAATGACCTGGACGAGGTCATTGAACCTCTCTTCAGGTTTGCAGATGACACCTAAGATTGTGTTATTGAAGATGTTTGTAAGTCGTGTGCTCTGTTTGCTCATGCTGGTGCATTTAATAAGGATTCTAACCTTGTACGTCTCAGTTTCAACCGTCAAAAGATACCTAAAGGCAGATGCTGAGAATTTGCTTAGTGATACACATTGCTACAGTTATTCAGGCTTTGGGCATACTATGAAGGGCTGGTCTAGTTCAGCTCAAGCAGTCACTGATAAAAGGTGATCTTGCTCCAATAGATCCTCTGTAAGGTTCTGCTCTGATACAGGACACTGTATGCTGTGCCGGATAGTAGTAGTGAAAGAACTACTGGGTCAATGTGGTTAGCTTAACAAAAGATAAAAAATCAAAAGGAATGAGTAGGAGATCCTTGTACTGTTCAGGATGGGCAGTGTCCTTTGCCCTCCTGTTACACAATGTTTTTTCACTTACGCTTTGCTTTTTTCCTTTTTTTTTTTTCATGTTTCTGTCTTTTTCTTTTTTCTTTTTTTTTTTCATGTTTCTGTCTTTTCACTACATTTCGTAAATTATACAAGTCTGTAGGTAGGTTTAGATCTACCATAGCTTCTTCCCCCTTCCCCTTGAGAGTTAAAATACTCTACATTTCGTAAATTATACATAAAGGCAGTCTGTAGGTAGGTTTAGATCTACCATAGCTTCTTCCCCGTTGTTGTTGAGAGTTAAAATACTGTAGATTTTCCAAATATACTCTCTTTGCACAAGTAAAAAGTATTTTTAGATGATTGAAATTACAGACCGCTTTGAATTTAAAATACTGGTACTGAGTACTTTTCTTGTTAAACAGATAAAGTTTAATATATGTTAAAGGAATATTTAATGTTTAAATATATATCTTCAGAAAAATTGTATCTGGAAGGGGAAAGAGGATTGCCGTTTTCATAGTTTTAACTCCTCTGTGAGGCAATCCTTTATCTTTCAGTTTATGTGTGTTTGTAATTTTGTATATACTGGATGCGTTGTAGAGGTTACAGCATACCACATTGGCCATGAAAAATTTTCTTTTAATCTTGTATTGATATGGAAATAATTTAATTTTTTTTTTAGAATACCGACTGTTATTAAGCCAGGTTGCGATCATCTTTGTAAAAGTGATCAGTTATGAAAACTTTTCCTGCCTTCTTTTCAGGATTTATTTGGTGTAAGCATGGTTGTTCCTTTAATGAACCTTCATATCAAATCTCTAGGAGCAAGTCATACAGTTGCTGGAGTAATAGGTGAGTTGCAGTACTTGGCTGATTTACCAAAGAGTAAGATAATGTGAACTGGATTATGCCTTACTGCAAATTCGACATTGTAACATAAATCTTCCTTGCTAGTAGCATAATGAAAAGTAAGGCCAATTTCCAAGTAAAACGGTAAGGGCAGCCATGCTGTGTTAGACCCAAAGACCTGTCCAAACTTGCATACTGACAGTAGCCAAAAGCAGGTACTTGGGAAAGAGCATTCTTGGAAAGAACAAGGAAGTCTTGCGGTAATACTTGTACAGATGCTTTTCCAGCATCCAAGAATTCACAGCTCAGCAACTTTGGGAGCCAGAGGTGTTGCTTTTAGTTTTATTGTTATTTACAGGCTTTGCAAACAGTACTTCTGCAGCTGGTTCTCCTGAGATTTCCAAAGCTCATGATTGCTCCCAGTTTGATTAAATTCCTTGCAGCTGTCTTTTGACAAAATATTTATCGTCTTTAAGGAGTGTTTACAAGTAAATTCTGAAGGTTTGGAATTTTATCTTAAACATGAAGTGGTAAGATGAAGTTCCGTGGTTCTAAAGTTCTTACTTATATCTTATGGTACTGTTTATGGTTTGTAATGATACAAGTATGATATTCTTTATAGCTACGTGTGGTTGACATGGGCTCTGTTACTCAGTTTTTTATTACTTTGCTTTTTTATTTTGGATGAAATTTAGCACTTTTCATGAAATAATTCTGGTTCTGCTCTGAGTTGTCAGAGTAGTATTTTAAGCAGCAATTCATCAAAAATATGTTTTCGTTTCAACAGTCGGCTTTGATTTTTAACTTTAAAAGATACTGGGTTTTGGGGTGTATTCTTATAAATGAAAGAGGCTGGCAGATGTTTTTCTCTGCTTCTCTTTGCTTCTCTTCTGTTACTAACTGCTGCTAAACTCTTAGCCTCCAAAATGAAAGAGCAGGGTCAGTGGTTTCTTCAGTGCTTCTGTGGTGCCTTGTAACACATTGAAGTGCCAAGTGGAAAGTAATTAGTGCCTCCCAGTAATGAAATTCGCTCCTGATTCTGAGAAAGCAATTATAAATGCCAGTGTTTAATACATAATACAAAGCAACATCCTTCTTCATTACACAATCGTACAAGTTTTCAGCAGAAACTATTTCCTTGGTTATGTGCTAAACTCCACCCTTGGTTTGTCCTGCTCCCTCTTCTTATTCTTTTAGTAAATTATTCCCAGAGTTTCTCTCATGTTTCCTTATTTAAAAAATCTGTGCAGTTATAAATTTATGCAGTTCTCATTTTTAAAAAAAATCAGTTTAATTTTTTTCATTGGTATTTTACTTGTTTGTTTTAGGATCTCTCTATGGTATAATGCAACTATTTTCCAGCACATTTGTGGTGAGTTCTAACACTTCATTCCTAAGTATGTTGGTATTTCTATGGATTTTAGGGGAAAAAAGGGATGAGGTTAATAATAGTGTTTCATGAAATTTTCAAAATGTTTATAGTGTTTATATAAACATTTTTGGTTGGTGAATCCAGTTTTTAGTTTGTGTGGAAAATGTTTGTTTCGTTTATAGGGAATTATCAAATTTTTCAAAACTAAACAGAATACAGTCTTTAGACAAAAACTAGAATCCAGATTTGGGCTCAGACATACATTACTGAGCATGTCTCGGTCACACAGGGTTCTCTTCGGTTTTGGTGCTAGTACAGCAGTTTTCTTCAATGCAGTAGCCTGTCCAAAAAGTAGTCTCACGAGTCAGCTCTCCATAAGCCTGTTATCTAGCATTTGCTTTCCCTGCTTAATGAGTAGTGCCCTGTAGTTTGCCATATGGCCTAAATTCATGCATTATGCCTTTGAGCTTTGTTGTTTTCTATTAGCTTTTGATTTTTTTACATCCTAATCTATAATCTAGTGCAAAGACTAAACATCAAGGCTGAACCTCTTGAATGTGTGCTTTACCTATCAATACCTTAGATCCTTGTGTTTAGCCAGGAGCACCTTTAATATTACCCTGGTACCTCCTAGCTTTCAAAAGAGCAGATTTGAGCATCTCATGAAAAAAAACTGTTTCAGGGTTTGTTATGCAGGCCACCTGGTATAATTTGCTTCTGTAATCTTGTGGCATTTTCTTTGAACTGCAAGACTGTTGCCTACTTTCTTAAAAAACTTCCTGTTTGGAATCAAGCTGCATGCGTAGTCTCACGAGTCAGCTCTCCATAAGCCTGTTATCTAACATTTGCTTTCCCTGCTTAATGAATAGTGCCCTGTAATTTGCCATATGGCCTAAATTCATGCATTATGCCTTTGAGCTTTGTTTGGTTTTGTTTTCTATTAGCTTTTGATTTTTTTACATCCTAATCTAAGCAGGAGTGCAAAGACTAAACATCAAGGCTGAACCTCTTGAATGTGTGCTTTACCTATCAATACCTTAGATCCTTGTGTTTAGCCAGGAGCACCTTTAATATTACCCTGGTACCTCCTAGCTTTCAAAAGAGCAGATTTGAGCATCTCATGAAAAAAAACTGTTTCAGGGTTTGTTATGCAGGCCACCTGGTATAATTTGCTTCTGTAATCTTGTGGCATTTTCTTTGAACTGCAAGACTGTTGCCTACTTTCTTAAAAAACTTCCTGTTTGGAATCAAGCTGCATGCAAGTTTACTGCTTGCCCTTCTCATAAATACTTCCTACTTGTCTGCACTCAGATGAGAAACTCCTCATAGCTAAGATCATTCCTTTTAGGATGCTCAACAAGTGTCTAGTACGTAGTGACTATTGGTGCAAAGAAATATTTGTGGTCGGTTGTGATAACATTTTCAGAGGGCCCCTACTAATAATATTTCATGGTGTTTATTGCAGGATTGTATTTTTAAAAGAGAGAAATTATTTTTTAAAAAGCTGTATGCATGACATTAAAAAGAATGATAGTTTCAGCAGGTGCACTGCCGGCAGGGCAGAACTCTGCTCATCACTTCCAGATTTTGAGCACTTAGGAATGTTGTGTAATAAGCTTATTAAGCTTTCATTGACAGTCCTTTGATCTCTTGTCTCAATTTAATTTAGAAGTACTCATTGTTCACTGTACATAGTTAAATGTTATAAAAAGCTAATTTTAATTTCCTGCTTTATAAAAGGGCTGCTGGAGTGATATAGTAGGAAGACAGTATTCCCTGCTTTCTTGTATTCTTCTCAGTGCACTGGGTTACTTCCTTCTTGGAACATCCACCACTGTGTTCCTGTTTGCCATTTCTAGAGTCCCTGTAGGTGAGTAAATGCTTTAAATTCCCTATAGTCTCAGCTTGAGAATTACTGCTAGAGAAATTGTGGTATGTGGATGGCTACGTAGCATCATCATCCAGCAGCACCAACTGAACCCTAGTAATGGAAAAATCTCTACAAATCGAACATTCTCATGACTTTTTTTTCTGAAAATAATTTGAAATGAATACTCAAAAACTGTCACAACTTTGTGCCTCCTTGAGTGGCTGAATTTTATGAGAATAGGAGTGCAGCAATTCCTTGAAAGAGGCTATCGTAAGGTTAGTCATAACAATACACCAGATCACTGCTGGAAATCTTGGCCTGCACTTGCGATGCAGAATGGAATGATATGTGCATTATTGTTTTTTCTCATGCTGGAAATATACCTCAAAGTGATACTACAAAATTGGGCTGAAATTTTAGGTCACTGCTTCAAAAGAATATTTATGTTGTGCAAAAGCCTGTACGTTTGCAGCACTGAAGCTAAGCTTGTGCCAGGGTTCGTATCAGAGTTCTTATAATAGCTGAACGCCTATGTTGTGGATGGAGTGAGACTGCACTTCACTTGTAAGAGAGAAGCAACAATACACTTTATTGATATAAAACAGTGAGTTAACAAAGTTCAATGGTAAACGCGGCAGTGGTTTAACAAGATTCGATGGCAAGGTACACTTGATTACGTCCTGCATAGAGGACAGGGTCAGACAGAACTGTCAGGGACACCTTCCCGTTGAGTCATGAGGTTCAGAAAGGACCCCCTTACTTTCTAAACTCCTTCTCAGAGAGGAGTCTAGGTGCGGCTGGATCCAATCCTAGTCCCAGACTTGGTCAACGGTTTATGTCTAAAGGATTGTATACGTGCAATCAATCCTTTATCTTGCTTAGCTAAGATTTCAAAGTTTAGCATGCTATTAGTCACTTACCGAGTATCTGTTGTGGCAAGGAATCTCTCAACCTCCAGGAGTAACCCTGAGAGGCGTCCCTACTCAAGGAGAGATCCTGTCGTGCAGCCCGCTGCCATGCAGGAGAGCTCAAAGGGCACTTGGGCTGCTCGTTATTTATGGGGCTAAGGTGATTGACCCATAGTCATATTTGCATAGCGCTCACAGATTTTCACTGGTTAAGTGGGCGCATTGCTCACAATAGCCCTTGGCTATTGTGCTGTTATCTGGCTCCCAAATCCACTTTGAGCCGGACGCAGCTATCACCACCAGACGCATCCATTACGACTGCCCCGGTAGTTATCGCTTGAGCAGGGTTACGGGAGATAAAGGTCAGGTTGGGGGAGGGGGGGGAGCAAACCATCACAGCCTATTGCATATATTCTGATATAATAAGCATTGCTATTACTATGGACACGTCTACTGAAGGGCACTATTATGGCCCATAGTCTTGATTTAGGAACTGTTCATATTGTTTCTTAATTTAAAAACAATTTGCTAATGAATTGTTTGATTGATATTTGATTACTCAGTAGAGGTAATGCTTTTTAATGCTAACAGGACTGTGACTGTGACAGCATTGTCCCGGTCAGAGGGAAGGAGCATAAAAGATTGCATTATTAGTATTCCTGCAGCATGCTTACCCTTCTGTGCTCTTCCTTTGCTGCCCACCCGTCTCCCATATGAATTTGATATGTTACAATCCTGGAAATCTCCATACTCGGCAAAGTTGGTACAGAGCTATGTTCATAAACAGACACACCATTCCTACTCCACCATTACCCACTCGCAAGTTCCTATTTTAGTGGCTGTTTTATTCCTGGTGTGCTCCAGCACTCAGCATAGTTAGCTCTTCTTTCAGCAGGGCTGCAGGAGCACTCCTTTGACACAGATGCGTGAATAATTTTGATTCCTAAGTCCAAATCCTTGAACAGCCAGGATGATGGTCATGGCCAACATGCTGCATGACTCTAGCACTGAAGAATTTGTGGTTTATGGAAGCTTAAAAATAGATTTTGAACATTGATATTTCAGATAGCTTCTGTCATTTTTAATCTTTTGGACTGAGCAATACAGGTTTATTATTTTTCTATTTGTTTTGTTGTCTATTATTTTTCTATTCATGTTTGAATTATGTTGCAGGTATTTTCAAACACACACTCTCCATCTCTAAAGCCCTGCTTTCTGACTTGGTTTCTGAGAGAGACCGCCCTTTAGTAATGGGACGCTTCAATGCAGCCTCTAGTGTGGGCTTCATTCTGGGGCCTGTCGTTGGTGGCTACCTTACAGAGTTGGAAGATGGCTTTTATCAAACGTCTTTCATGTGTGCCTCTATCTTCCTTCTGAATGCTGGTAAGTTGTATGGCATATTTTGCATCTTGGGTCCCTTCATTCCTCATTTTTCTGTTTTTATGCCATTGTAATACCTTGAATTCATGGTGTGTTTACCATCTATGGCATACATGTTCTGTATACCGGTACTACCCTTTGAATTTGAACCTGTGTGGAAGGGTGGAAATTTTGAAACCATTAACCTCCAGATGCTTCTCCTCTGCATTGTATATATCACTTTTACAGTCAGACGCAGGAATGGGAATTTTTAATATGCCCAAAGATGAAGACTAGAAATCAGAATTTTGGCTTTAGCCTTTAGATTTGTTTATATGTTGCGAATGTGTCACCTCAGTGTTTTCCTTCCTTGCTTTCATCGCATTTAGAATTGAACTGATACTGTGAATAACACTAGACTTAATCTTTGTAATTTTTTGAAGTGATGTTAAAATCCTTTTTGGAATTTTGATCTTTACACTAAGTAAACTTACAATCGGACTAATGTCTTCCATGTAAAGTTAATGCAATTGAATGAAATCAGCTAATTTCTTGATCTGTATAGGTCTTGTCTGGATGTTACCCTGGAGTGAAGAAAACACCAGCAATAGGGAACATCAACAAGGCAACAAAGGAACAGACAGTTTTTCAGCAAAAGCAAATCGTGACCTGCACTTGAAATCAGGAACTAATGGAGCTATGGCAAGAGATAGTCTTTTCCAGTCCCCGTGGATCCAAGTTGCAACAGTGCTGAAGAGGATTAAAGGAATTGCGTGCTCTGATCTGTGGGATATATTTTTAGTGCGGTTGCTGATGTCTGTTGCTATACTGCTGTACTATAGTAATTTTAGTCTGGCCTTGGAGGAGAGATTTGGGGTGAAACCCTTGTTTGCTGGATACCTAATGAGCTATAGCAGTGCACTTGGAGTCCTGGCTGGTTGTCTGCTCGGACCAATAACAAGACTCTATCAGCACAACACTTACAGAATTTTGTTGCACTCCAGCACTCTTACCTGCACGTTGATTCTCCTGTATGCGTCAGCGCTGAGCATATGGATGGTCATTTTGTCTTCCACGTTCTTAGCCTTTTCAACTACTGTAGGTCGTACTTGTATCATTGATCTTGAATTGACCATTGGTGGGAATGAGGCCAGTGGTATGCTCCTAGGTGTTGGACAGTCTGTGACTTCAGTGGGACGTATAGTTGCCCCGCTCCTTTCTGGAATCGCTCAGGAGTTCAGTCCTTGTGGCCCTCCAAGTCTAGGGGTTGGACTGGCTCTAGTAGCTATTCTGATAATGAACGCGAACAAACAAAAATACTGCAGCCATGGAAACGTTAAGTTAAAAAATCAATAGCTGCAAATTTGGATTGCATAGATGTATCTTACAGGAGAGGCAAAGTGAATCAGCCTGGGGTGATGCTTACACATGCCAGACTTGTACAGTAGTAACAGGATCTTTTAAGAGGGCACATGGTGTTCACGTGGAGACAAGTACATATAAATATTTCTGCTGCAGGGATTTTAACTCTAGACAGATGTTATTCTAACTGGTACTACTAGAACACTTGCAAGAGGGACAGGTGTTGCTGTATCGTACTGGCTGGGATTTTTTTATGGATTTTTAACCTTTTTGGAGGGGAAAAAAAGAATGACATGAAATACACAAATCCTGCTTGTAGCTCACATCTGAAATGGTGTTTAGATTGATAGATTGTTAAAAGACAGAAATTGATTCTTATTATTTAATCAGAGGTTAATTTTTATTATTTAATCAGAAGGAGAATTTGCAATATAGCTTGTTAGCCTTAATTTTATGCTGTGGTCTGCTGCCATTTGTCTGCTGTGACAGTAGCTTAATTAACAGGGTGGCCGCTTACGTGATTGTTAAGCATAACATGTTAGCCTTAATTTCTTATGCTGTGGTCTGCTGCCATTTGTCTGCTGTGACAGTAGCTTAATTAACAGGGTGGCCGCTTACGTGATTTTGTTAAGCATACTTTGTCTACAAAACTTGCTGCACAGCATGATTTAGGCATCTTGGGGTAGCCATCCAACCCCTGCTGATTCCTGGTCTTTCCCAGGTAACAGAATTGGGTATATGCTAACTTCATGTATTAGAAGGCCTAAAATGGACAATTTTATAATACTACGGGGTCATTCAGACTGAAACTGAGACTGAATGTAAGCCTTACTGAAACTTGAACTGGTGGTTTCTGTTTAGTAATAACTTCTACTGAGCAACTTTGTCATAAATTATTTGTTAATATTTCTTGTGCAATTTTTCTGCCTTCATTTTAAGAATAAATCTCTTTCTTAATTCTTTTGAATGACTGTTAAAGGTGTGCTGGAGGAACTAGCAGTAGTTCATGGATCTGGATTAATGCATTCTCTCTCATCTCTGGAGGCATAAGTGACATTTCAGTGGCAAGAGAAATACTGTTTATTTGTTGGTATTTTAGTCTTCAATTTCCTGTGCAATTTTTCTGCCTTCATTTTAAGAATAAATCTCTTTCTTAATTCTTTTGAATGACTGTTAAAGGTGTGCTGGAGGAACTAGCAGTAGTTCATGGATCTGGATTAATGCATTCTCTCTCATCTCTGGAGGCATAAGTGACATTTCAGTGGCAAGAGAAATACTGTTTATTTGTTGGTATTTTAGTCTTCATTTATCTGCACTGTTTAACTAATGAGAGGTTGCTCTCAGAGCTAGAGTGGGAGTTGTAACACTCTCCTGTGCTATTTACTGTTCCAGCTCATACTGCTTGCCAGTCACCACTGTGTTCATTACATTTGAAACATACAAAAAATATATTTTGCATTGATAACGTTCCATATGCTTTTCCTAGTACTACTTGATGAAAGTACAAAGTCAGCTATGTATAATTGTTTTGTTTTTTTTAATTAAAAACAATTTAGTTAACTCCTTGAACACATCCATGCAAATAGTGTTGCTGCTTCAGGAGAGTCATAGATGGTGCTTTGCCTTTTTTTTTTTTCTCTTCTTTACCTTTTCCAGTGCCTGCTATCATTTAAATCCTTGTTGAAGCCTCAGCAATTCCAGTGGCAGCACCATGGGAATATGTATAGAATTCTGAGTTGTCTTAATTTTATATATTGACATAATGAGTGTGTCTTATTACTGCTATGATTTCAGTACATATCCTCAGAGTTCCTTATTGTAATAATCTGTGTTTCATTTCTCCTTGGGAACTTGTGGCATTTTCAAGTGTCTTATCTCCTCTTGTCTTGCTTGGTACACGCCCCAAAACATTCTCGCCCTAAATTTCCTGTTTTCTTTCTTTCCATCTTATAAAAAGGTGTGGGGTTGGTTTTTTCTTTTTTGCCTAAAACCACCCTTCTGTAAGTCAGGGACTTCTGTTTTGCAACTATAGCAAGGGCTGAAGGAAAAGGGTAGGAAAAAAAAAAACCTCAAAAATTAATATATATGAAAGATTTAGTAGTTTTTACTATACTTGTTGGTTATATGAGGTAACAGATGACATTTACCCTTCTAAGTAGCTGCACTGATTAAAGCTGAATTCTGTAAACACTGTAAAATTCAGTTTATACTAACATATACAGCTGCCTGAATATTGCTTTTCTGCTTATAAAAACTTCACTGTTGTTTATACATAAGTGAAAAACATGCTTTCCACAATCAGCAAATATTTTTGTTCTATTTTGAAAAATAGTTCTCCATATATGCTAAATAAAAATTACGTAATTGATTTGAGAAATCTGTGGAAGGCTGTGGTCTCAGGGACATGTTGCAACTGATGTTACAGAAGAAAAATTTTTTACTTGTAGGCCAAAATGATTTCTGAAGTGCTGCAGAAACATTTCTTCTTTGTAAAGACTCAGTTACAGAAAAGTTGCCCTAATTTTCTTTTTTTTTTTTATTAAGGAATAGAAATAAAATGAAGTGACATTCCACATCTGTCATTTTGTTGCTCTGTTTTTTCCCCTCTTCCTCTGCTGAAACTATAGCACAAAATAGAGGTGTTCAAGTCAATATGAAGTGCAGATGTTTGTTGGTTTTTTTTCTTCAAGCTGTTCCTTAAAATGATCATTTGAATCTGCCTACTTTTCACATAAAAGGCACAGGAGCCAAGGATTCAGCCAAGAAGTGGCTTGGCAGTGCATGAAGAAGAAGAAATAAAAGAAAATAGAGAAATTAACAGTTTTGAGATGGAGTGCTTAAAGCTACTGTTTCCTAGTGGCTGGAGACCATGTTTGGATCCCCTGTGTTGTCTCTTAGTTGCCATAACCGTGCAAGTTCAGAGAGTGATGAGTAAATGACATTCCTGGAGATGAGGAGATGTGACTCCCCCTTTTAAGTTGAGGGAGGAGCAGTTGCAGCTATTTTTGGCTTCAGTCTAGTGGGCTGTACTTGAATTACTTAGCAGTTTCTTGAATCCGATTGTGGTATCTAAAGACTAACAAAACATCTGAATATGGACTAAAGGAAAAATGTTTCTACCTGCAAATCACTGCAAATTAAGATTTTTCTCTTGCTTGCTGTTACTTTAGTTTTGGGTTGGTTTTCTTGGGCTTGTAGGCAGGGTTGGGGTTTTTTTTTTTTGCTTTTTACCTTTTGAAATTTTCACTTTTTTAACAGTGACTGCTTTTCTGACCTTTATGATCCACTGATGTTGAAGAGGCTATGTATACAATATAGACATTTATTTCTGTAAAACAGCTGGTAGCATATGATAGGTACTGATTTTGTTGCTTTTAAATGATGAAGCAAATGTAAGTTTTATTCCATGTTGGTGTATGCTGCGTACACTTGAAGAGATCCTTCATAAACATACCAGTTCTGCAGATTTCGGTTTCTTGTCCTGTTTTCGTTTCTCTGAATTTACTCACCGCAGCACCATCACAGAGGTCAGTACCATTCTCATTTTCTGAGAACAGGTTGATTTATTGAGCAGATAATGCAGCAACAAAACAGGACAAGCGTTGCTTACTAACTGGCTTGCTCGTTAACTTCAAGCACCCTGTAAGGCCATCGCGTTCTAGCTGATGGGAACCTCTGTGGGTATGTTCAGGTGCTGCCAGCCCCCATTTGGTTATGGGTGCTATGGAATATCCCTGGGTAAGTGATGTTTTATAGCCTGACACTGGGATTTGAAAACCCAAGACCCAACTGTGCTGTTATTGCTATAATTTTGAAGACTCATTCATGAAGAGCTGATCATGAATCTTTTAAGGGAGTATACTGTAGCCTGAACTCTGAGAATCAAATGATTGTGAGTGGAGCTCAGGCTTCTTTCTCATAAAAATGAAAGTTTGTAGAGCTTGTTTTAAAGGGAAGTTCTGAAAAACTTCTGTGTTAACTTACAAGGAGAAACAAAGCCAAATTTCTAGTTATTTTCAATCATATATTAGCATCAAAGGACTATTTTTGAGATGTGCTACATGATAGAGACTGTTTTTCCATCCTGTCAAGTGTGTAATAAACAGGAGGTTTTAGATATGAAAAATAAATGAAGTAAACTGGGGTATTTAAAATGCCTTTTCCTTTTTGTGGCAAAAAAATTACTTTTTGAAACAAAACCTGTGGCAATTAGGGTGCTGTTTTAACTCACAAATCATAAATGTAAACCTGAGCACATTTCAGATCTTGAAACAGTGAGACTCACCAGAGCAGCCTGTGTAACTATTACTCTCCCTCCTGCGATCGTAGTCCCCCATACTCTGTCAAATCTCACAGGATAAAAAGGCTTCCAAGCACGTCAGTGCTGTAGGGGAACCGCATCAGTATTTGCCTACTTGGGAGAGGAATGATGCTAACCCAATCTCCCATCGTGTTGTCCCATTAGAAGATCTGCCTACCACCTGCAAGAAGAATTATTCTAATGGGGAAGATTCTGAAGTGGCTCAGCACAATATCCAAGAGGGACAATTTTCAGCCCCAACTTTGAATAACTCCCAAATGCTAAGGGTCCTTTGAATGTTCAGAGAGCTAAGCTGCCATGCATTTTTTTTCTTTTTAAGTAGCTCCCCATTTAGCTGGCCATCTAATAAATAGGCCAAGAGGGAGATAAAACCCTTTGACTTGAAAGTTGTAAGACAGCTTCCTCGTGGTCATTCACACAACTGACTGTGTCAAGCACAGCTGCAGGTTTATCGAAAAAGTACATCATGATCTGCTAAAATGAGAGAGAAAAAAGACTGCTAGTCCTCCTCTCTCTCCTGGATTTAAATAGCACCTGAATCAGGTGAGTTAGGTAGTCCATGACTTCTCTCGCTACTGTGTCCTAAAGCTGTTCCTCTTTCTCCTGTTTGCATTTTGTTTCCTGGGCTGAGCTTCCAATCTATTCTTGGCCTGGCTGGGGCTGTGTATTGCAGATGCCATGTTTTAAGCATATTCACAAGCATATTTTATAGGATCAGAGCTCTTACAGTACAAAACCCATTCCTCCAGCCAATTTCAAAATCCTTCGTCTTTTCTTCAGGAGGTGGGGGATGTTGGTAGAACTTAGACAATTTTGGAAATGGTGACCAGCTGAAGCATTTCTTGCCTGTCCTGGTTTCGGCTGGGATAGAGTTCATTTTCTTCCTAGTAGCTGGTACAGTGCTGTGTTTTGGATTTAGGGTGAGAACAATGTTGATAACACACCGATGTTTCAGTTGTTGCTAAGCAGTGCTTACACTAAATCAAGGACTTTTCAGCTTCCCATGCTCTACTGACTGAGAAGGCTGGAGGTGCACAAGAAGCTGGGAGGGGGCACAGCCAGGACAGCTGACCCAAACTGGCCAAAGGGACATTCCATACCATGGGACGTCATGCTCAGTACATAAACTGGGGAAAGCTGGCCGGGGGGGCCGCTGCTCGGGGACTGGCTGGGCATCAGTTGGTGGGTGGTGAGCATCTCAACACATGAATGCTACTTCCCCCCCCCAGTTCTCTCCCCCATTCCACTGGAGGGGGGAGCAAGCGAATGGCGGTGGGGGGTTTAGGTGCCTGCCGTGTTAAACCACGACAAGCGTCAGCCTTAAAATGTTGCTGGTGTCTGGAATTGGTGGACCTCTTGAAAAAGGTTGTGCAGGGTGCAGTGTATTTGTTCCCAGAGACCCCAAGATACTCTTCATAACAGCATGGATGTTATTTTGGCCAAATTTTTAACTTTGTTTCTCCATGTGATTTCTATGTGGCTTCAGCGGAGAAGGATATTCTCAAGTTTCTAAATTGTTATGCAGCATGGGTTTCTTTTGTTAAACACCTGTGGTTTCAGTGGAGCTTGCATTATACTTTAGTACCAGGTTGGACAGCCCTTAAAATTTTGTCTCTTATGGCAAATTATTCTTGTTTTCTCTTTCAAATATCTGCTTAAAACAGATAACTGGATGTCTATCTACTCTCTAGCCCTTGCTATCCCTACTTTCGTATCCTATTTACTTTCGATTTATAGGCCTCTCAGCAGCTGAAGGGGGAAAGAAATTCTCAGAAAACCCTAATTCAGAGTGTAACATATGTATTTTCCTGCTGTCCCTAAAACTGGACAACTGGGCATTGTGCTTCCTCACCAGAGCAGTAAAATACCAATACTACAGGGTGTACTGGGGAGTCCATCTGGAAACAAAAAATTTGTATGTGGATTTGGCGGGTTTCCCAGCCACTGCTGAAGATGTGGTTTCCTGAAAAAGTGAAAAACATGTCCCCAGTCAATACATGACTTTCCCCATCAGATGGTGCTCGAGGACAGATTTATTGGGCATTTCATTCTCCAGCAGACAAGCTCTCTTTGATACAACACTAAGGAGAAGTCTCCTCTGCAAGCTAAAGTTACATGGGCCCTTTAGAAAGATCAAAAAGTGCTACTGAAGTTGTTTCTCCTTTGCAGGAAAAGAAAAAAAAAGATAGGAAAAGGCAAACCTCTGACCCAAACCAGAGCAAGAGTTGAATGAGAAGGGCTACCTGGGACGCAGCCTGTGTCACCTGCTGCTGTCATTGCTGCTGAAAAGGAGAACAACCAGGATAGTTCCCAGAGATGATGAGGGTCTGACCCAGCAGTAGTGGAAAAGAGCCGGGGAGGAGCAGGAGTGGGGAAGGGAGAGAGCACTTGCAAGGAGACAGAGTCCCAGAAAATTTGTGATTCTGCTTCACAGTGTAACCGTGCTGGACATCTGCCTTGATGCTTGTCTTCCATGGATCTCAAAGTGCTTTGGAAAGGTAACAACATGCTAGCATGTTTTGAAGCACCAAGAGCTTAACGCCATAGTTCATAAAAACGACCTCCAATTTGACGTGCTTGTACTATGGGGCACCCAGTTTAAGTACCAATTATCTGAGCATGCACTGTACTAATGGACAACCAGCAGAGCAGTAAGGTTCCTGAAACCTGCATTCATTATTAAAAATTGTGCCAAAAAAAATTACAACCATTTGAAAAAAAAAAGGGCAGCTTTCCCCAGATACAAGCCAATTGCTTGGTCGTTACCAGCACACGGAAAAGAAAGCTCCACAGGGAGTAAACTAAATGTTCATGTACAACATTTCACATTTATTTATTTATTTATTTATTTGATCAGGGCCTGATACAAAACACCTAATCTAAACAGTCTGATCTGCAAGGAGGACCTGGTTTCAAAACTGAAATCTAAACTCAAGGCTTCTTTCTTATTCAAACATGATCTCGATAACGCAGTGACAGAGTACTCGCTGACAATTTTACTGATGAAACATATTTTCCTGTTGAAAGACAAATTCAAATTTGTTTTTAAAGCTTGCTGGCTTTGTTTGAATTCAGTTTTATTTCCAAACAGGAGATGATCATGAAAGGATAGCTAAGTATTGCCTTCCACAAAAATAGTTTGTTGAGAATAGCCATGAACATTTGACTGAGATTTCTAGGGTTCACATAGCCATCCCTCTGCAGCTTAGACTTTGCATTTGACACACAGCAGAAACTTCCACAGCTGGCACAAAGGAAAAAGACTGAAAGACCTGTGCCAATAAAAGAGTTCAGGAGGGTTTAACATTTCAAATACATACGTGAAATAAATCTTTTGGAAAAGCTGTTAGAAGAAGGAAAGTCTTAAATCCCCATTTATAAAACTAATTTATCAACCCCGCCCATGAACCTTTGAAAGAAATCTACCCTGTGATTTTAAAAGGAAATTCTGATTTTTAATAGTTCTTTCAAAACAAGCTTAAATAAAAAAAATTAATCTTATTGCCCACAGATTTAGAAATGTGCTAATGAAAAAGAAAAGTTATGATTTCACAGTGTACATTCTTCAGTGAAAGTTATCAATCTTCTAACAAGTAGAATGAAAATGATTTCTGCATTGTGCTGAAATGTGTATCTGTGCTAAAGCAAGCTCAAAACTTAAGACAGATTAAGTGGGACAGAAAGTGCAAATTCCTGAGAGCTACAGTTAAGTATCGTTTATTTTAATGCGCCCTCCCTTCCCATATGCACTCAAATGGCAGCCATTTACACTAGGATGAAGAAGTCCTTGTTTCTTATGGGTGTTATTAAGGTGCACAGTGATTTCAACTGATTCCAGGGCCCTGCTGTGCTACTTTTCTGTACAAACAAATTAGATGGAACATTTTTGTTCCTTGGAGTGCATAGCTCAGACAAAGAAAAGATTATCTTTCCCTTTTTACAGATGAGGAAACAAAAAGTAAAAGAAGTTGACCAGGGTCACAAGCATGCGTGAACGAGCTTTCTTGAGTCTCAGTGGTCCCTGACTCAAACAGGAGACTGCTCGCTTTGTCTATGTGCAGCGCTCTGCAACTATTCTACTGCTGTGTTTACACTGCAACTGAGAAACTAAGGTGCAAAAAGCAATTTTGAATAAGCATGTTATTTATCCACTTGAAGTCTTCTCTTTTTAGGGCTTCTGGTGTCCTGCTAGGCGCTCTCAGCTCTTGTTGACATTAGTGAAAGTCAAGGTCATTCAGATTTCCCTTGGCGATCCTCAGTACCTTTCAAAGGTTACATACTGCCAAAAATTCAGAAAGTAAAAATTCAAGCTATTCAGGTCTTGTCTCTGTTGCAAGTCCTCTCTCTAAACTGTGTTTGTAATTCTGCTCCTACAGCTTGTTCCTTCTCTTCTTCCTCTTTTTCTGCATCACAGCTCTTCGAACAAACTGGGCTTCAGGAATATATTTATTCTTCTTACAAAGTCTGTATGATAGGTGCATTGTGCAATTTTCAGTGTTACTCATATTAAAGCTCTGGTTAAAACAAGTATTATTTGATTATAAATAAAATCTGAAATGATACAGAATTTTGTTAAGAACCCATTCACCACTGGACTTTCAACAATGATTTTCAATGGATAACTGGGTATTGAACCTGCATGACTTGGTTCCACAAGAGATGATGTGATAAGGCACATTTCCATCCTATCTTAATAGTGGAAATAATGTAATTAAAGCATTGCCATAAGTTATTTATAAAAGACATTGGTTTTTTATGTCTTCAGCTTTGCAACTGCTCCAGTATTCCTTTCACTTAGTTAATGGCATTGACTTTACCCAAATGGAAGTGGTTAGATCCACATTGAGGCTTGGTTGGTTTTTTTAATGGATCCCATAGTCTGATCAGATAGTTTAGAATCCTAACTCGATACGTCCATGGTTTATTACCAACAGTTCTCTTTTCGCTATGTTCAATACGGCTGGTTCTCAGGCTTATTTCTCTGCCTTTCCCCTTGTGATGCCTGCCTAACTAATCGTGGTGGTGGCATAGGTCTTGCCGACCCATGGTCTGCAGTCAAATCTTCCCTGCTCAAAGTGCCAAATCTTGGTCTTGTCAGCAGTGGCTGCCTGAACCCGATGGATGGCTGAGGCAAGGTGCTCGGCTCCTGCTGCTCTCCTCGGCTGTCCTTGCTCCCGTCAACTTCGTTCTTCCACTCCACCCTAAACTCAGGCGGTGGCCTCTGCTGTCTCAGTCTCTGGTCTCTCAAGATTTTCCCTGCTCTGGGTCTTAGATTGAGCACTGTGGTAGCTGCATCCATCTCAGAGTCACTGCTGTCACCCACTGTTAATTGAAAACAAAATTAAAATTTTAGGTGCAGAATACTACTGTTTCAGGAATATTCCAATAACAGCACACTGAGCACTAGCAGCCAAAGAAGAAGTTTCCCTGTGTTCCTAAATTCGGTGCTTTCCGATTAGACCCAGTAATAGACATTTAACTATGCCAGGACAGAGGATAGATTTGACTTACAAGCATCCCTCCCCTCAAAACTGTGATTTTTAGAAAGTCCTCACTCAGCTGCTCCTCAGTCGCCGAGTGCCCCCCTGTTTGAGTCGACATTTCCCCAGTTCTAGCTCTGGACATGGAAAAACCTGTCTCTGAGCTACTTGGGGTCTAGTCCCCGCTTACGGCCAAGCAGGATACAGAAATGAGGTTTCTCACCCTCACATCCCATGAAATCTAATCTGAGAGGCATTTCCAGAGCACGACGTGTACAGGGACTCTAGAAACTTGACTTTGGAAAAGGAGCATCAATAGTCCACCGAGCAAAGGATCTCCCAAGGTCAATGTACAGATGGGAGGAAACATCCCATCCTTAATATACCTGAATGTAAGATATCAAATAAAATCTACATGACAAATCTCACAGGTTGCAAGTGCTGCAGACTCCTTCACCCCATCACAGCAGGGTAGAAAATGGTCAAGTGAAAGCTGGCATTATCATTCAGGGAATACTCTTAAATGATCGGTACCAGGTAAACCAAGCTGGAAACATTCTGGATGTATACATGTGCATGTATTTTCCCCAGCAGACTTCTTTTAAATTGACTAACATCTTCATCAAAACTTGCACACTTCAGTCATTTGATAATCATTTTAACAATCATTTATGAATGCCTCCAATTTGCTCTTAGACTTAAGCCAGATATGATGTTTTAAATATATCGAAGGAAAGAATTGTGTATTGTGCAAGGGTCATAAGAACAACTTCCATTAGTAGCCTACAAGTTATTTCTTTTAAAAAGGTGAGGAAGGGGTCAACGAAATGTATCACCACATAATTGTCCATTCACCCAGATAATTATATATCAAGGAAGGTCTTCATCATACTGTGTTTGCAGGCTTTCCCCCCCCCTAAATATGCCAAATAATATATTTTTTGACAATTGAATAATCTGGAGGCACATTTCCTCTTTAATTCTAGGTGACAGTATGTGACCTCTGCAGACTTAACTACAGAATAAAAGGCATCCTACATTCAGGAGAGCAAAGATGTAATTATTAACAGACAAAAACATGGTCTGTTGCTTAATTAAACTGGAAGAGTGGGAAACTAATCGGGGTGGGGATCAAGACATTTTAGTGATTGTGCAGAGATGTAATCTTCCCAGCAAGAGATCTTGACGGTTGCTTGTCATGAAAGGCAATGCTCCTCAGCATGGTATAAGCATGGTAATGCAACTGGTAGTAATCAAAAGTAATATATAGAATTGGGCAAAGTTTTCACATCAAATTATTGTCTTCCTCCAGATGTTTTATTTTTTTGTTAGAATTCAAGAATTCCAATATGAAACATTGGTGAGTTTAGGCAGAAAAACAAAAATTGACATCTTGGTTGTAAACCACAGGATTTTGAGAAGTTCTTCATGAGAACTATAAACCAGACCTCACGTCCTCATTCTTCTCTCTGGTTTGGTTCCCAGGGCAGTCCCCTCTACCCTGACGCCAGTGAGAAAAGAAACCGAATAGGCTCATAATCCAAGAGGGAGATCCGGACATTATGGAATAAAGACAAGGAGAATGAGCCATGGCAGTGTTTCTGGTGCAGAACTGTTTCAGGCTGCTGCTTGCTCACATGAGGAGATGTGCTGCAAGGACTACGCCACTACAGCATTTGAACTGAGAAAGCCCCACAAGACTCTGCTTGCTGGGGCGTTTCTCTACACACAAATATCTCCTTTAGGACCCATTGCTTTTAATACTCTAAGACCCCTGCTAAACACCCAACACCTAGAAATATGCTATGAAGATATTAACTCTAGAATGAAAGCATGTGAATATAAAACATTTAATATTTATTTGAAAATTAGTATGCTGATTTCTCTATATCATCCCTAAAAAAAATTTCCTTCTACGTAGGCAAAATGACTGCAGCACAGTAAGAGGCAGCAGAAAATTTGTCATTACCTCTGGAAGATGTTTTATTTCTCACTCGTAGTTTCTCTGGGAGTTTAGTGTTTTTAGGAAGTGAAAGGAATCTTTTTGTATTTGCAGCAGCCTGTGCAAAGAAATATAAGACATGTTAGGTTACCGCAGACTGAAGTACTTGCATAATGTATGTTAACATACACGACTGAGGCTTGAACGGGTTTATGTAGCTAAAGGGCTAGAGAACAGTTTGGGATTAGCTAATACGTGATCTTTTACTACATACTCCAGTTAACACTTATGGCTGGTTGCGGTCTGTGCTAACTAAGGTAAAGACTGAGTAATCTCAAGCAGCTTAATCAAAGCAAAGCCTAGTGATATGCCCTCTAAGATCAAAGTTAATAAATGTACGCTCTCTGACCTCAACCCTACCTGTACAGGTTTTCCTAAGGAAGGCAAACGCTGCAAGCACGGCATCACTTCATGCAACTCCAGTTTGGAACTTTTTATTAGTCAGCTGCAAAAATTTGGTTGTGACTGAAGCTCAGGCACAGAACTAATCTGTATTCTGATCCTGCAAGTGCTTTATACATATAAATGACTTTATACAGTTGACTAGTCACACTGAAGTTGATGGGGAAGTTAGGCACCAGCGTGATCATTTACCAGTTCAGGGCATAAAATCCTTCTTTTCCCAGGACTAAGCTCTGAAGGCCCTGGGTGCAGAGCACACCTCATACTTCCTGGAACATGAGAGGTACTTTCCAGGACAGGTTGCTTTTTTTTTAAATTCAGAAATTTCTCGAGAGTGTCCTTTCTTACATTTGTTACGAAGATTTTTTAACACCTTTACAGTCTACCAGCTCTCCCCTGCTTGTACCATTCATTGTTGTACACTCAAAGGGAACCTGAAAGGAAATTTATTTTCTGTGAGTCATTCTTCCTCTTCAGATATTGTTGTGCTGCTCAGGACCACTATGCTTCCCTCTGTGGTGGATTTATCCAAGGATAATTATTTTTGAAATTACAGCCTGTGCATTTTAAAAAGCTGTCAGACACCCTGTTTCTCTCCCTGCCCCAAAAATGTCTCAGTCCTGCTGAGTGTCTTCATTACTCCACCTAGTAAATCATTTATTGGTATGACAAAGACAACATATGTAACTGTGGTTGAGAGGGAAAAAATAATTCAGGAACAGACTTATTGTCACAATTAACACCACAGTAGCCCTGGTAATGATCACAAATGAGATATAGCACTTATTGGAGACGTCATTCCAGCCTCAGCTGCTGAAGGACAACTGTATCAATGAAGACAACAGTCACTAAGTATTCCTGTAACATGAAAATACATATTTATAGGATGGTTAATTTCCCTGATACCTAAAATGGGAAGATGATTTGGGGGATCAGCTTCCCTGCTGAATTAGTGTGCTCCATTCAAATATGGTCTGAAGTGTACAGTGAAGGTATTGCAGGATTGCCTCAGAGAGCCAAATATTATCATGCCACAGCATTTCTTGTAGGTGGAGAGGGTTTTCCTATTCTGTGTCAAAACCTGAAGTCCTGACTGCATTTTATGAATACTAAGAGAGCCCACAACATTTTTCAAATGAAGAGCTCACTCTGACTGACGTGATTAAAAGTTCTCTTTCCCATATTTTGGAGCATACATTAAGTAGTTTGTCTACCTCCAAGTCATTTTCGACCTCGATCATCCATGCTTCATCAAAATACTGATAGAGAATACTGACCATCCCTTAGAAGTACGCTGTGTACAGAGCCTGTTCAGCTCCTCTGAGATAAAATTATGGCAACAGATCCACTCCCATATCACATTCTACAAGACTGAAGCTTTGCTGAAGGGGTCGACACAAATTAAGGGGCCCATGTGTGCAACTCAAGGTGTAACTGTGACACTGTATGTGCAGTTGTCTTCCAAATTTAGGATTTATTTTTTCTGCATTTCCGAAGATTTTTTTCTGCATGACATTTGGCTACAAAGAACTGCTTTCTACGAAACAACCAAAATGCAAGTACCGGTCTTTCTCTTGACAGGCTGTTCGTTTTCCTCAGGCTCTCCCTAAGGCTGTGCCGGCGACGGATCAGAATTTCTTTGGCCTGCTTTTCATTTGCATCTGCAGCCAGGCTATGTCGGTTATATGACATTGTCTGAAATATAAAAGCAGTGGTCACATTCTGAAAAGCATAATGTCAAATGTGTTGAACTATATGCATGGTGCAAAACCGGCTTTTTGCTTTAATGTTTTAATAAGCATCATAAATCCTTGTGAACAAAATCGTATTGCAGATGATTAAGAACAAGAACAGTAATTATACCAGCATTTTTTTAGTCATCTGCTTCACAAGCACCTGTTTGGTTTGTTGGGTTTTTTTAACCTGCTGATATTTATAATGAAAGAGAAATTGGAAAAACTGGCTTAATACAGTGTTTAGCCCCACATTGTACTAGCTCAGTCAATATGTCAATAGACAACGCACATTTGAAAGCGGTAAGACGAGTCACCTAGGGGGAAGTCATTTTTACCTCCAGCAAGCTGAAGCTTGCTCCACTTCTGAATGTTTTTCAAGGGCTCAGGCGTTCAAACTACTAAGCCACAGGAAGGTAAATGTGAAATGTCCTTTTGCTTTCATTTCAGTATTTTTCCAGCTCATCACCTCTGCTCTTAATAAAAACAACTTCACAACTGGAGGCAAACGGGAAATCTAATCCCGTATCATGAAGTGACCAAAATACTGATATAAGTGGACAGTGTTGGGTTGAATTTGCACCTATGATCCTTTTTAAATAATGTAAGTACATTGCAGGTAATATGACAAAAACATTAAGCTTTATCAATAGTATAAGATCATGTAAGCTATTTACATAAAGGAGTATGAATATGTGGCTGTACGTATGATAGGACATGGATTCATAGGCAAAAGAAGTAAATAACAGCATTAATTATTATGCTATAGTACAGCAGATGTACTAGCCCAAAGATATGTCAGGAAGGTAATCAGTATATTCAAAGAGTAGTGGGATATTTAAGTATGCAAAACTTCATCCTTACTCGATGTCGTATTTGGTAGAGATTCTTTGTTAATATTTCCCGCATGTTTTCCATTTCAGTGGGAGAAAGCGGCTTTATCTTTCCTTCATGATATTCACTGTGGCAGGATAAAAAAAGGAAAATAGAGGACAGAGAGAGAGAGGAAGAATGTTTTTATTTTTATGATTGGGAATTACATTTGAATTATTTCCTTTGTTAGACTTGGAAACAACCTTTCAAAACATCCGAGGAACAGATGAAAACATAACATGTAGGAATGAAATCTTGATCTCATTTGAGTCAGTGGTAAGGCTCAAAACTCAGTCTCCAAAATTTGATATAAATTACATTAAATTGTAAATTTGATTAAGGTACTTTTCCAAATGCCCCTCAGGCTTCCCCATAGCTATTTGCAGCAGATGGGCAGGCACTGGTTCAAATCCAGCTCCGCTCTACATGGCAAATCAGTGTTCCTGTGAGCAGATGCCCTTGTAAAACTACACGCTCCGGACGAGCACAGCTCACCGAGCACTTCGTGTGTGAGCTGCAAGCGAAACGTTCTTGTTTCACATACCTTTGCTGTTCAGGTGACATTTGGACATAAAGTGTCCTAAGTCAAAGTGATTATCCTGCCTACAGACTGGACTGTGAAATAAATTACATGACCCGGCCAAAATCCTCGGCCACACTGGCATCGCTTGCTTACCTGAGGGACACCGACGATGGCACCTTGCTTATCATTCCGCTCTCTGCCATCTCAATGGCATGTTTGATTTCCAGCTTCTTGTATAAAGAAACAATGCTGGACTTGGGCTGGTTCTCCCGGATTAGAAGTCTTCGCAGGTATTTATTGTCAAACTTTTTAAACCTGTACGTGAGGCAAACCAACCCAACCAGTCAATTTTTACTGTGCATAGTTAAGGAAAGCCAATATACTGTAGCTAATGCAACTGTGAAGGAGTTTATTCCCTGGGAAGGTGTCTGTTCATATTAACAACCTACTGCTGAGTGTCATAAAAAAGGGTCAAGTTCATCTTTGATTCAGATAGATAGTCTTAACCTGTATTTTGGTTAATACATTAATGGACAGTGTCCCTAGCAGCTTTTAACTTTTAGGTATTTTGTGTTATTAGACAATATTATTTTTAATTCTCCATTTTCAATGAGACAGAGAACACTAAATATTTACTGTAATAACAAATAAAAGGTCTAAATTTGCACCGACTGCTTTTTCTTTGAAATTTTAGCCTGCTCTTGTAAAACTTTGGAAATTCTCCCTTCCTCTAAAGCAACTGCAACCCTCCTGGATGCTTAGTGAAAAAATATTGATTACAGCTGGGGTGATTTTGTTTGTCAGATAATATTTTGCCCTCTGGCCATTCCGAAATTATTCTTGAATTTGGGTCAAAAATGTTTCTGAAGGTCATGAAGAGGTGGGACCCTCCTTTGCTCTGTAATCTGTTAATTAAAGATCTCACACAGACTGGAGGAGAACCAGGCTGAGTAAAGGAAATTTGTACCCATGTCATACAGTCAGGAGAGTGTTCTCACTGCCATGCCCTCAAGTCATTTGGAGAGGGCTCTTCTCAGCCCTTCCTGCTGGTGCTATTCCTCTTTGTAGAAAACAAATGCTTGTTGGAGCAGTGACTAGAAGGCGGGTGAGCAATGCCCACGCTTTGGGTCTAAAGGATTTGAGTGTAAAAGAGTGTGCTTCTGAGAAAAGGGAGTTAGATCCAAACCAATGATGATGATTTCAACCCAAACTATTCTATGGTTCTATGATTCAGCAGCTAAACCGAAAACATGAATTATTCAGGTATTGCCAGTGGTAATCTTCTTAACTGACACTAAGTCTTAAATAATACCATCAAGAACTGTGGAGCTGCCTGCCATTAGGATCTCTCATGCACCTCATGCCAGCTAGTGCCTTGATCTTTCTAGAGAAAGTCCCAAAGCTTTTGTATGTTTCGCATCAAATAGGGAACTAACCCCTCACTTAACACCACAGAGATGTGCAATTTGCAGGAGGAAAGGCGGATGGGATGAAAGGCTCAGCAGACATACAGGAAATGCTCTGAAACAGTCAGAAACAGGGAGAGGACACGCACCCTCCGAAGGTACAATCCTGTACCCTGGGATCAGAGGGCTGCCTTTCCTCCCAGCTGGAGATTTTGTTCTACTTGCTTGTGGTTTAGTAAAAAGACATTGTTTTGCTGCTTTCCCTTTGTAACCCACACGTTCTAAAAACAACCATCCGCTTTCAAGAATAAAATGCTGAAAACGAAATCTGATGCCCAACAGCCTTCATTTGTTGCTGCTGAGCCAGTTTAGCCTCTCCTGTATAATAAAAGTTAAATGACATTCTTACTTATCTCTCCAAAAGTTGTGACCCCAGTGTCCACACACATCTTCAATTCCAGTCTTCACGTGGTCAAAGAACTAAAGGGGAAACGTTGGTTCGTTACGTAAACTTATAGACATCACTTGGCTTGCCCTTAGATATTATTAGTTTCTAACTTACTTCAAAACAGAAAAATCTAGTCAGAATTCAGGACGATGCTTCAGTTTAACTAAATGCAGTCTAACTAGACTCAGAGCCAGACTCCGTTTTGTTCCCCTGGAGCTTCCTTAGCTCACAGCCCCAAAAGGACAGAAGTTAGTTGCTAATTTCCTCAACGTCAGTCTTGCTCAGCTCCTGCCTGAATCTGGAGGTAACTTTTTCCCCCATATTTTCATTTCTTTTAAGATCCCTAACCACTTAGGGCTATGCCTGGGACTTCTCCAGGGACTTCCCCAGGCCTGACGGTGAACCAGGTATGACTGCAGAGGAGAGAGCCTGAGTGGGGAGCAGCTCCCCGCGTCAGCACTGGCCCCTCAGGATGCACAGGACAGAGCTGAGATACCCAGCATCAGGTCCTGAGCTCCTGTTTTAGGGGACTGTGGTCTAGACTCACCTCAAAGCGTCCTGAGCACCTAATATTAGAAACACACTCTTCCGCAGTCTATTATGAATTATGAAAGAGTGAATCAGTTCAGCCAAGATCTCACTCGATCTCCAGAGGCAGCTCGTTTGCTCTTAATTCAAGTACCATAGTAGGGGTCTCTCAAATTCAGGGGGGAATCCTGGTAGGTATGTCCAAAGGATAAGCTCTAAAAGGACGGACTTTTAGTTGCCTAGATTGACTTCTTTGCTGAATGTGGCCCTTCTTATTCCTCATTTTTAGAATTTCAAACCACCTGCCACAGGTATGCTGCAAGGAGAAATACATTCAAGAATACACATGGCTAATAAACTGCAATAATTAGACACACACGTACCAAATACAAATCCATAAAGAAGCTGATGATGTGAGAGTTAAGTAAGTTTAAGAGCGTGTTTAGGGGGAGTTTGCATTTGTTTAATTAGACTAAGTCAAATGCAATGTAATGTAATTAAATTGACAAAGCTTTCCTAATGTAGCCAAGTTCTAAAATAACACGTATCTCATATGTGAAACAAACTACAGAAAGTTAATTTACCTCAAGAGGTGAACAATTAAGAAAGTGAAGATTCCAAAATAATGATATGTAATAATGCTAGTTTTGATAATTGCCAAAGGTTAAATATAAGCTTTACAGTTATTGTGCTTATAACAGCTATCAAAAAGAAATCTAAAAGAGTGTGTATCTCTGTAATAATGTATGCTGAACCCTTGTCTTACTGAAAGCCATTAGGAATTTCATCTATATCAGGGTTTCATCTATGACACTGAAGCTGCAACATACCCTGTTATAAATTTCTTCACTGACAGCAGGCTGCTTTTTATTTGACCTTTTGACATCAAGAAACTCCACCAGTGGGCGAATTGTTATTCCCTGTGAAGAAAAACAAAAAAAGGGCAAATAGTTCTGGGTTTTTTTCCGTAAACATAAAGAAAAAACAAAGCCTTTTGGTCTTTTCCATCTCTGTCAGAGCATTGAAAATGGCTGTGGATACCTTTTTAGCTCTGGATACCCTTTCACCTTCCTAACCCCAGAATCCAGCCTGACACAATAATTATAATAGTGAATTCACTCTTGTGATTAGCAGGTGTCGCACTTAGCTATGAAGTCCCTGTCTGCACACAGGCTCCACTAACGCAACAGAAGGAAGGAAGGGTATTTCTAGAGCTAAGCGGTCCAAGAGGGGCAACCTGACAAACCCCACCAGGAATACGTCAATTATCCCATCCATAGTATTTTTAAACTTTTTTTCAGTTCTGTTATGTATTAGAAAACCCCTCACCTGTTTTCTGAATTAACAAACAGATCCCCCGTCATACCAAAGCAAACATATAAAGTCCTCTTTTTTAGTGATTACTTCCAAAACAGATACTCAAAGATGTGTCAACAGTAGCACTAAAACTGCTATTCACGACCCGTGACACGAAGACTTTTTGTAAATACATGTCCTTGCCTGACTATTCTCAGTGAAAGAACAAAAAGTTTTGGCTATCCCAGAATGATATCATGGTTTTGAACAATTATTTGTGGAAGAATTGACATAATTTGTTTATTTGTATAGGTGCACTGGCACAGGGGAGAGGAATGAATCTCTCATGGTGTTGAGATCAGTCCCTACTATCCCAGACAACCAGGTCACATATTTCTTTTCGTAAATGAATCGAGTTTTATCTTAAAAGGAGTTAGGTTTCTTTGCCCCATTGCTCATACTGGAACACTCATCCTGAACCTCATTGTTCTGATAATTAGAAAGCTGCTTCTTAATTGCATCATGGTCACTTTGTACCACTTTGTTCTTGTGCCAACATTTGTCTTTTTAGTTAAACAGTGTTCCTCCTTCTCTGGTGTTCACTCCCTCATATACACAGTAATTATATTCCCTCTTCTCCTTCATTTTACTAAGGCCAAGGCATCCTGGTCTCCTTTCACAAGACAGGCTTACCAGTCCCGTGATCACTCTAGAACATGACACTATTCTCTGATGGACATACCTGTCTCAGTATGTCTTAAGATCAGATTTGCCTTTCTTCTGTCCCCACTGCAAAGATGGCTTAAACTCTACCCTGTTATCAACTAGTACACCTGTGTCTTTTTCCCTTTCTATTTTTTTCCAGATGAAAGGATCCCATTTCATAAGAGAAATCCCTAGTAAGAAAGTCCTAGCAAGAACACGTTTGCACTTATTACTGTCAAATTTCATTCATTATGTTTCTATCATATTGGCCCCCAGTTATTCTCTTCTTTCTACATGACATCCCATCTCGCTGTCACCCTGAGAACACCTTCCAAAGCCTGTCATCAAGAAATGTCAGCAACAAAAAACTCCTACGTTTATGTGCCATGGTCAATAACGAGAATATTAAACAAAACCATCCCCAGGAACCATGCTTGAGGAATTCCATTAATAGCATCTCATCAGCCTGTTATCTGACCAGGGTGCTTGAACGCTGGAGTAGGTCCCCAGAGAGGCTGGGGAATCTCCATCCATAGAGGTATTCAGAACTCAACTGGACATGGCCCTGAGCAACATGATCGAGCTTTGAAGGTGGCCTTGCTTTGGGCACAGGGTTGGACTAGAGACCCCCAGAGGTCCTTTCTGACCCAAAGGACCATAAGCTTCTATTTCCCTTTATAGGAGAAACTGTCAGCTCCTTCCTCATTCAGTTTACAGTCATCCTAATGTCAATCTAAACCTCAGTTTAACGAGTAGTTAAGCTAACAATCTCCTATGTAGCCCCCCTCCCCAAAGATTTTACAATAGTCCAGTTAGATGAGATTACTCTAGAACATAAATTGCCTTATCAAAGAATGATACCAGGTTTCCCTTTGGTAAACCATGTTGCATTTCATAACACATTCCATTTACCTCCATATTTTAAATTATTCTGTCCCTCAAAATCAGTTTTCACAGTTTACACGCTAAGGTCGACTAACTGGCCTCCAGCTGCTCCAGCCACCTCTTCCCCTTTCCCAAGCATGAGCACAGATACTTGCTACTTCCAATGGCACCTTTATCCATGCAAAAGGCAGGCTAAATTTTTTTTTCCCCCCACAGACCTGAAATTCCATGTACTAGCCTCTCACATCTCTCTCACCGCTCTGGATAATGACTAGCCAGACATGTTTATTTGAAGGGCTTAGCCTCCTCTACATTTTGCTGGTTTCAGTCACTTCCCTCGCTCTTGGTCACTCTAGGCCTCCATAGCCAGCTTGACACCAGAGACAAGTTCTTCACGTTCTTCCGCACACCTGGTGCTTTTGGATGGATGTCCAGCTGGTTGGCAGCATGACTGTCTAACACCCAGACTCAAACACTCCAGTTCACCTCTCAGTGCCCTCACTGTCTTCCATCCCCTGCTCACTGTGCGCCATATCCAACACCGAACTCCTGAGTAAATGCACAACTTTAAATATTCTAACAAGGAATTAGTGCTGGGGCTGTACCCAGATTATCTTTTATCTCTACTCCAACCTCACTGGGTCTTAAATGCTTAATACTACTTACATGTTAGCATAAGTACTTAATATCTGGCATACTTTTGCTACCTGTCTGCGGTCTGCATAGCATTGTTTTTTAAACTATGACCATGGAGAGTACCTTCAAGTATGTTCCTTCCAGTAAGTTAGGACATTTGTTTTTCTACCCACTGCTTATTTACAGCCTGTCTGAGAAAGAAGTCCAGAAGAGGAAAGGCATTACCTGAATGAAAACGGTAAAGAATATCACCACGATAACAGCAGTGATGAACAATTTCTTCCTGGGAAACACAGCAGGAGGAAGCAGAAATACAAGTGAAAAACAAATAGCTCCTCGGAGGCCTCCATAGGCAATAATAAATTGGTCCTTAAAAGTGAGAGGAATTGTCCGGAACACATTAATGATCTGAGTCAGAACAAAAACACCTGAGGGAAAAAAACAGAAATACCAAGAGGAGGGAAAAAAAGGGAAATTAAATTACACAGAAATCCCCCACAATGCTGATATTTGTTTTAAAACACTTTTATTTGCTTCTTACCTATACTGAAGAAATGAAATGTTACTTAGCAGCTTGAAAAACACATGGAAGAAAAATTTAAAATGCTGAAGGAGCATCATTTTAAACATATTTAGCGAGCTAACCACCTCAGGTCAGCTGGATTTAGAACCTGAAGCAGCTAATTGATCTCCACAAGACAGCTATCTGCTAGACTCTGCACCTCTAGAACAGCAATAATTCTCTGTGTTAGTATAGACCAAGACTCCTAATTTTTTTTTAATAGGATTTGAGGTGCTTTTGAACACTTTGGCTTGTCACCTCCATCAATCCGTGCTTTGAATCCTGCAAACTCCTATTCACTCACTTAATTTTACTTGCACGGACAGGAAGAATGCAGGACTGGGGATGGAGGGAGAAGATGCCAGTGCATGCTGATGTACCGAAGGCAAAGGGTCCAGGGATGTGGTGGACTGGAGTAAAGGTGTAAAGGCAAAGGTGAAGGGAGCAAGCACGGGGGCCAGGAGCTGTGGGGCAGTCAGGCTGCTTGGCTGCTTTTCAGCATAAAATATTAATTGTGGGGTTGCAGGCGCAGGAGGGAAAATAGTCCAGATTTCTGCACTGGAGGTAGACTCAGGAGCTGGAAGTAGGGGTGCAGAGGCAGATCAGAGCATGAGCTGCCTTTAGACATGGAAGGACCGAATCATTACAGATGAAACGGGGGTGAGGGGCAGGTTTAAGACCTACAAGCCTGACCTGCACTTAGGTCTCAAGGTAAAAGAAAAAGAGCTAGCACTGCAAACTCAGGAGGCATCAAGCAGTTTCTTACAGGATTTTTTTCTTCACAATGTATACCTGAACAACACTTCAACTACAACATTTCCTGTTTTGACGCTATTTATGCTAATGACTGGGAAAATCCCAAAGTGAGTAAACATAAATTAAAAAAAACCCACAACCTGTTTAATTGTTCTACAACTGCTAATTCTTTTAAGCAAAATTTGCTTATTTGTAAATAAATGTTTACTTAAATACATGTACTCTGATTAACAAGCAGATTGCCTCTGACTTTAGATGGGCAGGATCAGGACCAAACTGATTTTTGGGTTCCATTTTGGGGGAAGGTGGAAGCTGACCCTGCAACCTAAGACATGTTACAAATAAGAAGACCATTCTACAAGCTGATGGGACTCTGCCTAAATTTTGGCATTTCCTACTTGAAAAGAGGTAAAAAGTTTCACTTGCAAAGAATACTGACGCGTAGTCTGAGACTTGCTTACCCAGTGCCCTCCAGATTAAACAGAAAAGGAGGGTGAAGCTAACGAAGGCCCAGTTCCACTCATGGTTCTTCCCAACTGTAGACACTCCCATGAAGATGAAGATTAAGGTCTCACTGACACTGCTCAGCATCTTCATGAAATACTTTATTGTCGTATAGGATTTTTGAGAAACATTTTCCTCCACGTATTTATTCATGGTCATGGCACAAGCTGTAATCCTGAAAGGCAAACATTATCCTGTATGTCATCAGCTTGATTTTTTTTTGGCTTCTCTCATTTCTACAGAATATCTACTTTTCCATAGTCCTCTTTAAAATACAAAGCATAACTTATTCCATAACCAATCTCAAATTTATAGACTTGGTGAACCTACAGTTTTGGGCACGAGATTTTTTTTCCGCAGTGGGGAGTTTTCTGAGAAGACATCAGTATATGGAGAGTTTTGTCACATATTAAATCCACATGATCTGTGCAGGGGTCACTCAAACTCTGTGTTTTGAAAGAGGCAGAGCTGAGGAGAGCCAGAGGCATCCCTGGAAAACAGGGATTGCTGCTTCTATTGCAGCTGAGGGACATCAGACAGGATGGCAACTGCACGTCCTGGGGCAGGGCTTCCCTCCCTTCCCACCAGCAGTTGTCCCACCAAACCATTCCCCTCCTCAATGGCAGTGACAGTAGCCAGCTCCTCTTTCCAGGCAAAGTAAGCAGAAAGGCTACAGACAATTTGTCATCTTCCACCACTTTAGGCCACTGCTTGCTTTGCCTGTGCATAGGGCTGAATAGGAGAAAAACACCACCAGAAATCACACTGGTGCTGTTGCACGTTTAAAGCACCTACAAATGAATGAAATGGGCATCTCGGCTGATACATGAGCGAACAGACAGGGCTTACTGTAAGTACACCTACATATCCGTGCTCTGAGCCTGTGTTAGTAAACAGAGTTTCTTAATCAGCAGAAAGAGCAAAGAATGACATTACCGGCTGTACATCACTTGCTCAGTACGGTTGCCCATGGTGCAGGGATGGCCGAGGACCACTCAGCTACAAAGTTTACAGGTTTAAGGATAGTTAGCAGAGCTGGCTGGAGGATAACCTCAAGGCAGTGCCTCAGTGTAGGGAAGCACAGTCTGAATTGCCTAATAATTATCAGGGTGGGCAACTAAGGCAAGATGCGTTGTGATATAGCTGTCGCTCCTGGTTCTATTATCTAGGGCAAAAACATGTCTTCTCTGATTTCCCAGTTAAAAACGTTATACGTATCCACGTATGGGTTCTCAGTCAAACCACGTACACTAAACCTCAACAGAGAGAGAGATGTGTATTTATGTTGCCTTTCTGAATCCAGCCCATGAGGACTTGTCCTACGGTTATTTATCCCAGTTCCACCAGGTTTTCAGTTTATAATTATTTTCCAACATAGGGGATATTTCTTCCTACTGAAATCTCCACGCTTCTCTCTCTCATGGAGCAAGGTGGCAGGTTTGCCAGCATCTCTTTGGAAAAAGCTGAAGAAGACTCTCCCACGTCTCATGGAGATTCCACTGCAGAAAGTCTTCTGCTGATCCTGCCTCTAAGCCAAGAGCCCCATCTCTGAACAACTCAAACATCCCTGAATGCGAGTGTAAATGGAAAGGCAGAATGAGGGAGAGCTCAGAAAAAGCTCACTGACATTATGAACACACATGTCTAGGTTCTTTCTTCTAAAAGAAGGGATTAAAAAAAAAAATTTGCAAAGCGGAAAGAGGAATCCCAGAAGCAACAGTAACTTCCAAAGGACCTTCGCATAGTAAACTTTCTTAGCATTTTGCAAGAGGGTGTCCATAGCAGCAGCTGAGGCTGTAGTCACTGGCAGACTCTGAACATGTTTCTCCTAATTAATTAAAATTAGTTTTGTCCAGAAGTTTCCTTCTCTTACGTGGAGCCACATGGCCTGCTTTGGAGGACAATGGCCAAGATCTGAAACAGATCTCTGACCCCACCAACACATCCACATCCCCAAAGTGACTGGGCAGCATTACTTCTGAGGGGCGAATCTGGGAGGACACGTGGACACTGGGAGAGGACACAGTGTACTTCGCTGACCTCTGCCAAGCAGCACAGCCCCTGCAGGCACATCAGGGTGAATAAAACCTAGGGAAGAGGGTCTGATGTGGGGACAGATGTGGTCTGATGGGGCAGGTAGTGGCTTACAAATACAGGTGGAGAGGGTTTGCTAGCAGAACAGTGCAACTAACCTGGCCTTCACCCTGCAGTTTTGTCCACCTACACTTGGTGATAGAGAGGCAGATCTAGTCAGCACAAAATAAAATGGCCATTGCCATGCAAAAACTAGCTCCAATCCTAAGCAAACTCCAAGACTAAGAAGAAGGAAAGCTTGACTAAAACTATCCCAGACCCCCATCTGCATTTAGTACTGACATAATTGTCAGCTGTCTCCTCATTGTCAGCTGATTTCACCATGGTCTTGAACAGAAAGATCCTCTGTAGCCCAAGAGTAGCATGCTGTCTGGGAAGCGGAGCTCATCATGGTTATGTGGGATCCACCACGGAAGAAATGATGCAGATTTCATAAGCATGCAAGCTTCCTCCCTGCAAGACTCAGTGGTTTAGGTAACATTTCTAGTTTGAGCATGTGGTTGCGACAACAGAGGTCCTGCATTTTTGCCAATACTGACAGACTGCCAATGCTCTTCACAGCTCTCCTCCTTGTTCTGATCTTACAGTTGCCCAGACTGGGGACTTGTCATAGATCCCACCATAGATCCCACAAACATATGTGCCTGCATATCTCAGGAAGAAAGTGGGAGAGGACCTGGGCCATGCATGGATTTTGTCCTGACAAGGAGTGATGACTTGGCCGGGACACACACCCAAGCCTGGAAGCTGTCAAACATTCCCAGGCTCTTCAGTTTACACATAGTTCTGGTGACTAACCTCAAAAGTATATGTGAAGAAGGGTCTCAAATCTACTTAACACCTTCACCCTCCAGAACTCTCATATTCAGTGGCAAACCAGCTCTTCACAACCCACAGGCTGCACTGACAGACCTACAAATATCTCAGGTTATGTCATGGGTCGTGACAGCTCTCCTGTGCATGCACAGCTTATCTGTACAAGTGTAACAAGTCCGATGCATCCCGGCTACTTCCAGCCGACTGCACACACGGTGGAGCTGGCAAGCGCAGGGGCAGCAAATGCAGTGTAGCAAGAATGCAGTGGGCAGGCTGCAAAACAGCCATTTCCAGACCCACGGTTGTTTCAGACTCTCAAAGCTGCAGCTTACTGCCCGAAGCATCGGGCCTGTCAGGTCTGCATCAAAGACACAACAAAACACTCAGTACTATATATTAACCTCTTAAAATAAATAGTTTTCACGATTATAGTAATTCAGGAAAGCCCTGCAGCTTGGGGAGAGGGGAAGCATGCTCTGGACACGGTTTGTTTTTGGATCCTGAGGTAATGGAGACACCGTAAATAGATGTCTGATAAGAATCTGTCACCAGATTAATCAGGATCTTTGCAAGCTGTAACTTAAAACACGTACCATGCTTAACCACTAGAGTTTAAAGGGACAACACTCATATATATAATATTATTTTCAGTCACATTTTGCATTCATTTAATTAGTGTCAACTAATTGATGAGTTGGTTCACCAGTATAACAAATAGTGCTGTACATTATTTGTTACTCTTCAGGATAAGTAATATTCCACAGCTAATCACTGCTCACTTTATGAATCTGGTATCTCTTCAGAATACTTATCTACATTAGAAAAAAACCTGTTGAAGTCTCTTTAATTTGAAAATGATATGGCAATATAGTGTTAGAATTTAATATAAAATCAATTTATTTAAATATGCAAGATTTTATGTACGTTATTATACTATGTTCTTCCCAAACTGAATTTTTACTGTCACCATAAGCTAAGCAAAAGCTTAGGCGTGTTTTATTTCACATTTCTTATCCACACACATTAATTCTGGCTTCCACTTCTGTGACCTGAGGTAGTTGCCTTGGTCAAGAAGGGGAGAGAAAAAACAGTTAATTGCAATTAACCTGCAACCTTCTGTGCTTCTGAAGAATAAAAGTCCCGTACAAACAGTACAGTTTCTGTCATGACTGCAATAAACTAGGCCACTGGGTTCAATCCTCAAGTTTCCTTGACCTACTAAATTTACAGTAGTTTCAATGTTTGTTCCTTTCATCCTGCTAACTCAGTTGCAAAAAAAAAAAGAAACACAGATTAATAGCTCTGCTGCTTCACAGCCTTTATGAGAAATTAGTAAGCAGAAAATGCAGCATTATAATTAGCAATGGAACCAAGCAAATAAAGTTCAGGTTCACATCTGTATGTTTCACAGCCGTGCTCCTGATTCAAGCCCGGCTCTAATTACAGTAGAAGCTCTTTCCTCTCCTTCTGGAGAGGACTTTCTCACTGCAGCTCACAGGGACATGGTTCACTCCCTTCGCTATTCCAGCCAGGTAACCCAGTGCAGGGGTTATACACAGATGCTTCAAGAATCGTTTGTCCCCAGAACGAGTACACAGACTTACCAGAAAAGGGACACACACCTTTCATTCCCCTCTATTCCTCTGCCAGTGAATTCCTACTTGCACAGAAGTGAAGCACTCTGTGTATGTATCTTATTTATTTGGTAACACTGTTATGTTCCTGCTCATGTCCTCCACCTCAAGTATGGTACAGCATGTAACCACAAGGTCTCGCTGAGTATCTTTATGAATCTGGTTATGAAGGGAGTGGGAATCAATAGTGTAACAGACTCACGTGGATATGGGTGAAAAAAGGGAGATTAGGCAATTATCCCCTATAGGCTGAACTGCAAATGGCCACAGAATCATATAATGAATAAACAACCCGGGTTGTAAGGGACCTCCAAGGTCATTTGGTCCAACTACATGCTCAAAGGAGGGCTGACTTTGAAGTCAGACCCAGGCGATCATGCCGTGAGTCATTCGCGGCAGAAAACGACAGGGAACTCAATACCGGTGCATGTTGCATTGTGGCACAGAGCAAAATACTCTCTGCAGTTCAAAGCCTAACAAAACGTGAAAAGCACGGGGTAGATTTACTCCAAGGGGACGTGGAGATTACAGGAGCTCTAAGGCCCTCAGCAGCGCTGCTGGGAGGGGGCACGCTTTATGTCTCATGGCAGCTGAGACGCTACAGGGCTGCAGAGGGCCCTTCCTGCTCCCCCTGGGGTGTTACTGATATATCCAGCTCCCTCAGCTGTTACAAAATACGTTTAGCATCAAAACACATACAGGGCATTTTAAAGACAACTTATTTTCTGTTGTGTTGTTGGAGGGAAAATAATGCTTTGTGTTTCCTCTACTGTTTTGCACCCACTCAGGGGCAAATGAAAAGGAATAGGTTGTTAGTGCCGTGCAAAGCACTGGTGTGCTGGCTGCAGGCACTGGCATGCGGTGGGTCCACTGAACCACCAGCAGACCCGCCGTGCCCTTTCCGTTGTATCCTGGACGCAGCATGTCCAAATCAGTATTTTCATGCATACTGCTACAATTTTTGCCACGTACAGTTTAGCCACACGGTTTTGGTTTAGAAGCCCTTTAAGTATTTGACCATAGGATGTCAAGGACATTTGACTTAAGAAGTGGAGGAAACTAGAAACCACACAAATGCTATGAATAGAAACTAGGGAAAGAGATGGCACATTTATGAACTCGGTCAAAGCGGATGCATATGTTACTTTATTTAGGCTCATATCAGAGAAAAAAACCCATGCAATCTTTAGCTCTTTACTTATATTAAAGTACTAACCGCTCCTGTTTTATGGAATATTTCTATTTTTATACTACTGAAATCATCAGCTCTGAGTTTCCATGTAAATTGCTTCCCGGCCCCAGAAAACCTTATACTGGCATGACTATGATATCAAACCTATCTTCACTTTCCTAAAAGATAATCATCAGATGAGGTATTATCAAGTATTAGTGATACTCAGAAGTAACATCTGAGCTTTCATAAAAAGCTATGCTCCTAATGCTTGAATGACTCATATTTGCCACTAGAACAATACCAAGTCATTAAAGAAGGTTGGCCTTTAAAAACATTACTTGGAACCAGAGCAAACCGTTTAAGTATATCAAATGTCATAAAGGCTCCTTCTAAAGTTGAGGTTGTTACAGTATAAACAGCATCAAGCGAGAGGCTGTACTCTCTCTTTACTGAAGCCCAGGAGTGAAAAAACAGGAGTGAAAATATTTTTCTCTGTTGAAAGTGGGAAGAATAATATTATTTTATACATAATACAAGCATTATAACACACAGGCACACGTATGAAGGTACTAAACTAAGGGGTTATATCACCATAGGACTAGATTCTGCAAATTCTACGTTCACCCAGTCCTTACCGTGCTTGTAATCCAGCAGGAGTTTGCCTTAATGATATGTACATTGTCTTGAATGGTACTTACTGGCTGCTCACATGACTAAGTGAAGACGTAGTTTCACAATATATTGGCATCAGAAGCGAAGCCAGTTCATGAAGTCCCCAGCTACCACTCCCACTCCCTCCCAGCCACCACTGCCCCCCACATCACTGTGGGCCACCCCTCAGCCATGCTCTTATGACTAGTTGTAGGGTCACATGAGGACACAGGTCACCAAACTGATCTGGGTTAAAAATAACCCCACCGAAAATACAAGGGATTATTTTTAACTTGGAACATTTCAAAGATATGGTTTATGGTGTGATGCCATGAGCCATTTTAGTGACACAGCTGGTGTGGTGGCAAGCCGAGAGAATGGGATGGAAGGAAGCAGGAGGGGAGAGGCCGGAAATCCTCAAGCCAGCATCGCTGCCATGCACGGTGGAACGATACCATATGGCAAAGTTTGCAAAATCTGGTCCTCTCTGCAATTTCCTCTGGTATTCTTACTTGGGTGCTATTATTACTGAAGTTTGGGGTACTTACGCCATGATGCCCGAGAGATGAAACATTTCAGCTGTTATGTATGACAAGTAACTGTACAGGAAGACAAAGAGTGGCTCAATCACTCGGATTTTATGGGTGAAACGGGTGGTAAAGGCTGCTACAAATCCCAAAAGGATTCCAATCAATACTCCACCGATCCCCACTATAAAGAAGTTAGCAATCCCAGCGAATATGTCAATAACCTTAATTGTGCGCATCTGGCAGAAAGACTTGAACAAATTGTACAGGACCTATGAGAAAAAGAAAGCACATTATGTTTCTGAACTGTTCTTAATTTCCCTTCATGTCATTATGGTCCTCTGCTTCAATGTTGAACTTCGAATTTCTCTATCTACCTTGAACTCACTTTTGAGATATGCTGTTGTTTACCTCTGGCATATTACTTGTCATCCATAAATATCAGGGATATATACAAAGAAGGGTAAATATCATTATTCCCATTTTTGCAAATGGGACAGGTTTCTTAACCCATGCCATTCTGCAGGCCAGGAGGATAGATTTATCTAGTCTTTCTTTAAATTCATTTATTTGCAGAACTTCTAATTTTTCCACAAATGGCCATTTCAGATTTTCCCCAGAATCAAAGAAATAAAAAAGGAGGAGGAAAAAATACAGTTTCATAATCAGTGAAAAATCAGGTTATTTTCAAATGTTTTTGATCTACATAAGACACCGAGAGCTGCAGTACTGAATTAGACCATAGATCCATCTGGCATGGGGTGGGGAGGGGGAGAGGGGATGGACAGTGACCACCCCAAGGAGTACAAGAAACAAGGCATCCATGGAGTGCTCTTTCTCTGATATATTAACCATTAAGAATCCAATGGTTTAAGGACGTCTCAAACTTCAGATAAATTTCTAGAGATTTGGATTTAATTCCCATTAAAAGATCTGTTACCATGTATTTGCTCAGTTTAATTTTCAAAGAGTTTATAACCATCCTCCAAAACAAACTGGGTCAATGGGATTATCACATTTTCTTAGCCAGAGAGCCTTTTTGGTTTACACAGGAAACAGAACGATGTAAACTTCACATTTCTCTAATATCCAGTACTTTAGTTACTACAAAACAGACAACAATGGAATCAGTTACTCTTAAAGAAACCTTAAAGGGTCTCCCCATTTGCAGACTCACTTGGAAGATTTAAGCATTGCCTGGTGCTGCATGTATGCTTCCAGACATGCGATACCGTGATGGCTACATAGTCCCCTTGTACAGGTCTAGGCTTGGTCATAGGCACCTACTCCTACCACAGTGGGTTCACAGGCTAAGCCACCTTGGTCATAATAAACACCTGACTAGTCATCTTGGACAGCTAACAGGAATTAAACTTCTGCATTCTTTCTGGACTTCTTAGTAAACCAAACAGGTTTCTCTATCAGAAATGCTATTTGAGAGAACAATGTTTTATCAGTACTTGGATTGTGCCAACAATGTGGGGTGTTTGAATAGTGACTGGGGGGATTTTTCATGTTTGCAGTCTTGTTCTCTCTCACATGACAGAACGTAAGTTGTACGGCTCTTCTTGGCCAAAATTTGATAGGTCTTACAGAGGTGAAAGTTCTCACTACAGACTAATGCAAAGACATGGCCTATTATGGGTCCTTTGGGCTAAGTGAAAGGAAAGAACTGAAAAAGAAAAGAAAAAATATATTCCAGAGCAAGCATGAAAAAAGGTTAAATCAAACCTAGCATGGTCACCAGTAATTTTCATTACAAAGCGACAAACAGGAGAAGAGCAGGAGCATGAACTATTTATCTGATAAGAATGATGCCCTCAGGATGAGTCCACCTGGGAGAAGTGTCCTTTTTCACCTAGACAAACCCCTTCATCTTGCTGCTCTGAGGCAGATTCCCAGCTCTTTTGCCCTGTTCCTTGTTCCTATGTCCTGTGCAGGACAGGAAAGTAATGTCATAGGCTCCGCTGCTTTCCAACCTGTTTTGATTTGCGGACCTTATGGATTTGCATGAAGGGAAGTATACCAGAATTAAGCTTATTGACAATAGGTGTGCCTTTGTTGGTCACTTTACAAGGACCTCTCAGTCCACAGACTCCCAGGACTCCATGAATTACAGACTGAAGAAAAAATACTGTTGATCTGTGGTGTTTGCAAGAAGAGTTTCCCAGAGTCACTTGTTGAAACTTGGGACTACCCAAGAGTTGTGTTACTCTTCAGGACACCTACAGAATTTGACCTGGCAGAATATTCCCTTGGTATGTATTAGGGAAGATGATTATTTTCTTTAATGGGAGTTTTAAATAGCCTTTTTTATATTTTAAAAAATAACTATATAAATATGTATAAGGCAAGTCTCCAAAGTAAGGCCACTGAGAGCTGCTTGTAAAGAAGCATGTAATTTTGACCTACTCAAGCAATAGCCTTTCCATAACATCACCTCATCTTCACAGCGAAGTATTCACCCTGCAAACAGAGTGGAGCCTATTGTTTCCACATACAGACATCCCCATAAATCTCAAGTCTGTTGCCATAAGTTATTTGAAAGAAGAAAAGCAATGTTCTCCTTTGTACCTCGGATCGAAACCAGACCGCCGTGGTAGAAGCAGCAGCTAGGACTACGGAATGTCATGAACACAATTTTAATCTCATTTCTATTCTTCTTTATTTACACTGCTGTAAATGAGATCAAAATCAGGTTCACTTCCCTTTTACTCTACAGCAGTTCAGTTTTACAGCTCTCTCTAAGCTTTCAGGTGAGTTAACATCAACGCTGGTCACATTTTGTAATGCATTTGGTATGAGAAGGATTTTTTTTTTCAAGTTCAAGATTTGCATTTACTCAACATCCTTCAGCTGAACTCACTGAAGGTTACACCAAGGAATATTAGTCACCAATCACTTTTTAATCCTGTCTAAGAGTATCTCTGCTCTTCCTAGACACTAATTGCTTATTTTCATGAGTCTTCAGTTATTAGTTTTTAATTCTGAAATTACTTTAAAGCACTCTAAAGTAATGTTTTCAGTAGAGGCAGAATACAGAGCACTGCTGTAATGTTTTCTAACATCGGAATAATATTATTGTAATGACACTGGCTCCTTCTTTGTGATTTTAAGCCCAGAATTGGAATTTGAACTGCTAACACTCAACTTCAACTGTGATCTTGCCATCTAATATCACTGTGCTAGTTATCACTGACCCAGTCTTTCGGTAAAGGACCAACTCTGAACAAGAAGCCAACTGGCAAACATTGTCCTCAGCCAAATTCAAGCTCCAAAATTCCATCAGTGGGGGAAAAGGATCATCCAAATGCACGGGCATATTGCAAAAACTACCAGGCATGAAAGACCATCTGAGAAACACAGCAGAGCTGAGATTCTTGAGGAAGCCCACCTCACTTTGTATCCAAAATGAAGGTGTGGTAGCACATTTTCTGAAAAGGGAAAGCATAATGACACTGCTATCCTATTAAGATCTTTTATTAGGAGCACCCAGGCAGTGTAAGTGGGATAGCAGGATGTTTACTAGAGCCACACCGCTCTGCACTGCCCACCTGGGTAGCCCCTGGGTTTTTTGAAACTGCAGTGGCCGTAGGAATTAGGCAGCTTCCGTGGACGGCCGGCCAGCCTGCCTTCAGCTCCCCTCCTGCTTCGTCCCCGTGTCCTGTCAGGGGCACCCGCCAGGGCAGGTGGGACTCAAGGGCTCCAGCAGGCAAAAGCTGGAAGGGGCTGAGCTCTGCCTGCCAGCTGGTTTTATCAGCTCTCCCGGTAACACAACAAGGGCAGAGGAAGAGGGAGTATTTACAAAACATCATCTCCTTTGAGCAGATAGCTGCGTAATCCCGGCAGCACCACAGCGAGGACTGGTCCAGCAGCACCGCTACAGGTAGGGGAGGTGAGATCCTCTAAGGGCACCCCACAGGGAATCTGTGTGAAGGCCTGGGTCACATTTTAAGTATAATCACACGATTGCAGGTGTGCAAAATCATAACAAGGAACCATTAGCAGACCAATGCTTTGCATGTGGAAACCACTTGATCTCCTGCCAAGTGCTACCTTTAAGCGATAGCTGGGAAGTAAGACCGAACGTACTCTAAATTCCTTTCACTCCCTCATGAATATGTGTACGGCCGGTGCATATGCTGGGCCAGCCCTGCAGGCTCCTCAGAGTTATCTCCCCCTGCATTAGGGCATCTGGGCAGGCGTGCTGTGAGAAAGGACTACCTCCAAAGAAGGCAATAATGATGCCTACAGGAAAGCCATGCATCACGGTTATTAAATTGCCATGCCAGTGCCTATAAAAATGGTGTTTTAGAGTAATTTGCCATTGGGCAATGGCACGCATGAATACTTCCGTCATCAGGATGCAGTGTTTTCCTAGCAAATCCTGCTGGATTAACTGCTGCTCCAGTGGAAAGGTGATTGATTTTGTGATTGGAAAAAGTGATTTTGGTTGGAAAAATCCACCAAAAAAAGCTTTACATTAACATAAAAACAGACCTTCTTCCCCCAGAAGAACTTGTACGAAAAGAATTCCACCACATGAGTGGCCATTAAGAGTGAATAAGAGACAGACACAGCCATGGCTGAACTGCTAAGCCTTTTGAAACTCACTATTTACACCCACTTATTTTCAGGACTGGCTTAAGTACCAGTTTAGTAACGGCAGGCAGTTTCAGCTGTAAGCTAATGAGAAAAGCTAGGCTTTAAGGCAAACCCGTAAGAGAGGATGCGATTCGGCTGGCTGGATAGCAGCATAATCAGGTAAAGCATGAAGCGTAAGTGAAAAAAACCCCAGTACTCCCACGGACACACGAGAAATGATCAGTACCAAGGCTCAGATTAAATGATGAGATATACATCTGTTATGCAGGTGAGGCAAAGTCCTAGAAAAGGGGAAAACCGAAGGACAATTGTGCATAGAATGGGACAGGAATAAGAAGCCAGTGACAGAGACAGGGAAGGTGTGGACCCAATTCATGAATCTTTCTGATCCTTCTGGCGTATGAAAAACTGGACCTCCATGTCTCACAAAACAGAAAGCATGCCAGGACATAGTTGGCACGGGCAGGATTTCAAGTAAGACATGGATAAATGGGAGTAATGCCCCAGACATGGTGTCATCAGGTACAAACGAGGGGCATTGGGGGTGTTAATGGAATTTGCAGATTGCTGTCCTCAGGTCAGCACCACAAACCCAGTTCAGCTAGTTAATGATTAGAAATTACTGCCTCCAGACGGCTGTCCTATCTCATGTGTAGCCTGGCAGAAATGTATTGGTGGTCTCAGGGCAGCTCCAACTGGACGGGCACATGCAAAAGGCTAGCATCAACCGGGTCCTGTGCCATCTCAATGATTTGCCCATTCTCCCTGCGAACATGCTGGGACACCCCACATTGGCCCTTCTCCCTCTCCTGTCCAACGACATTTCTGCAGGTGAGGAAAGCCTCCAGTTTCAGATTACAGAAGTAACAGAATTCAAAGATACAGAAACTAAAGAGATCAGGTAGTAAAATGCCTAGAGCAAGTATGCTACCATTACGCACTACTCTAGTGTAGTAAGACTACCGTAGTTTCTAAATCTAAAGTTTAGAGAATTACATAAACACATCAGCACTCCTTGACTTCCATCTATTAGCAAACTGTAATAACCAGATACAAAGAGATATAATGGAGTGGCATGCAAACAATCATTTATCATTTTTATCAACTGATCATTTATCAAGTAACTTACCACAGTTATAGCATCATTCAGCAAAGACTCTCCAAACACCAGGATGTAAAGCTGCTCATTGACATGAATATTTTCAAAAACGGCTAACACCGCCACGGGATCCACAGCTGAAATGAGGCTGCCAAAGAGCAAATTCTGCAGCAATGTGATATCAGTCAAACCAAATGCACTGATCTGGCAAATCCCGTAAAGTGAAATTCCAATGCCAATGGCGTTCCAGAGCGTGCCCACTACGGCATACCAGAATATGGTACCAAAGTTCTCAAAGAAAAGGCGAGTTGGCATAAAATATCCAGCGTCGAGTACAATGGGCGGTAAAAGATACAAGAAAAAAACATCACTGTTCATTACAGGTGGGGACTTCTCCTCTGCTCCAAAAATAATCCCACCAAGAAGCAATCCAACCAGAATGAGGAGACAGCTTTCAGGTACTATTGAGGGCAACTTGTGATAGAGATGAAAGCCTTCAAAGGAAATTCAAACACAAGAAAGTAAAATGGTTATTTGTACAGAATCCAAAAGATTATTCTGGATTCTGTTATCTTAGTATCTATAGTAAACAAACAGCAACTGCAGGGCAATTTCATTTTCATTGCAAAGACTGAACTGGACCACCACAACAGGTCAAGGCAAATTTGTCAGCTAGGGTAGTTAATTCAGTTAAGTTGGTGGAGAGTCAATTTCATAGCTAGATGTTCCAGTTAGTAGCTAGGCTGGCTGAAGCAACTGTGTGCAAGGGTTCTGTTTGTGCAAGTGTGGGGATTTTTGTAATGTGGAATCCTCCAGAAACACAATCCAAACACTTTTCTAGGGCAAAATACATCTAGATAGAGGGGAAAAAAAATCCTACTAACCACCCCTTCCTCCATGCACAGCTTCACAAAGGAGTTTAAGGAGTATATTAATTTCATTTTTAGAAGCCTTTTAGACTCTCAAAGCTAAAGAGGAGAACTAGCACATGTGACCTGCACCCAGTCACCCGTGGTCACTTCCTCAGCCACCATGAGGAAGCAGTTACAGACACATTATTATTCAATTTTAGCGGAGCCTCCAAATTAATTTCACAACAACCAACATGTTTTCCACAAAGTGACAAAAAGTTGCAGCCTGTATTATGATGCTCGTTCTTCTGTATTGTATGAATTGTGGTAGTGTCAGGAGTCTCTTGTAAAGATCTGTGCAAAGTACTGAAAAAATGAATAAAAAAAGGTTCTGAATGAGGACTGAATGTTCCTTAGCCTACTAAAACTCTCCAAGCCATGCAGTTTTGATTTAAAGATTCCCATTGCTTGCATAAGTTGACTGTTTTAAGGATGACTTTGGTAATGAATGGGAAAAGTTTTGAAGGAACTTACTCTGGCCAATCTAATGGAACGATCAACCTTACGCACCAAGGTCACATTCCAGGTCCTGGCGATGCTAATCTTTTCCAGGCTCCTCCTTATCTATATTTGGCCCATATAATTACATAGAAAACTATCCACACCCACAAGATCCCACAATTCCTGCCTAACTAAAAAGCATTTGAATTATTTTAAATGAGAGCCGCACAGAAACACTGGGTGTGGTAATAACGGGCGTCTATTTCAGTAAAACTATTTCAGTAGTATTTCAATTACTACTATCACACCTGTAGTCGAAACAGTTAAACTAGTGCAAGCTTGGTATAGTTCACATCCAGTTTCCCAATTTCAGGCTTCTGTATCTTGTAACACCTATTTTGTTAATTCTCCTTTCATTATAGAATTTTTCCAGGTAAAAGAAAGCCTGAACTTAAAATTAGGAAAAACAAATGGTTAAGAAGAACCAAGGGGAAAGCTGGTTTACTCTACAGATTTTTTACTTGCATATTCTATAACTATTAAAGCTATTTTTTAAAGTAAGCAGCTCAAGCTGCATTTTTTTCCTTTCTGGATGAACACAGACTGCTTTTCAATATTTAGAAACACAGCCTATGTAACTCATTAGAAGGACTGCCAAATTCACTGTCATTATTCAAAACAGGAATCACCAATATCCTATATTGGCAGAACAGGTAATGACCCTGGAAACGCAAGAATTTGCGGTTGGAGACTTGACTCTTCACCTTTCAGCCACTTCCACATAAAAACCATTTTATGGTTTGTCTTAGTTTCTGCAGTGGCAGGATGCCAAAATTTCCAATACAGTGATTGAAGTTTCCCCTGAGTAAGTAGATTTTACTAAAAGTTTTTTTAAGCCCTTCAAAAGTATCTTAAATCGTTTTCTCAATAAAAATTGAAGAGGAGGGAATTTTTGTGAATGATGAAAGCTTTTAATGAAGACAAAAAACATCCCAACCAGTTGTAATACAATGGCAATGAAATGTCTGCTGTGAATATAACAATAAAAATCTTTTTCTTTTCTTCTTTACAAGTCACTCTTTGGAAAGTTCATACCCTCTCAGAGCTTTTGGGACTCCACCTCATCCTTAAATGTAATGGAAAGGCTGCCACTAAGTTAAATGTGCTTTTTATCCATGTAAACAGCATCAAAACTCCTAAAAGACTGCCTGCCTCCATGAAAGGCATTCAAAGGTGATCAGGGACAGGCTGTGGTTCCCCATTTAAGGGCAGAGAGCTAGGATTTAGGATTCAGTGCACATCAAGTTAGGTGCAGGTGCCCCGCAGGATGAGGGACATCTTCCCTGCTCTGACGGATCCACAGCCTCGTGGTCAGGAGTGCCCTGGGAGCAGATCCCCTGCAGTACATGAATACTCAGACTTTTATGCTGAACCCAGGACCACAGCTCCTCCTCTGACCCTGTCCTTGGGCTCCTGACTATGCAGTGACCCAACTTCAACAGCACAGAAGATGCTTATCCTCAGGCCATTGGGCATTAGGACACTTGCCTAAAGTGTAAGTTCAGCATTCTCAAAGCTGAAAGTCCTTAGAGTCCTGGTTTCCTAGTTCTTGGGTGAAATCCAGTGCACTCTGATGCTGGAAATGCCGCTGAGACACATACTTCTGATTATACTGAGTTTTCCAAGGGCCCTCTGAACAGCTTAAACCTTTTTTCAGGAGAGAAGCGTTGGAAGGATATCAGCTCAGTTCCCAGAAGAAGCATTTCTAATCGTGCATTTGTGATTAAACGTAGGAGTAATGGGAATCTTGATGAGTTAGACAACGTTTTGTAGGTTTAGTAGCATAAGAATTAAGCAAAACTGGGAGATAAGTAGACTAGTCTCACTGCCTAGAGACTGCAGCATACTTCAGGTGCACTGGGTCCCACCTAATATACTCATAGAGTCCATCAGCATGTTAGTAACATGCCTCCTATACGGTAACACCACACAAGATAATAAATAACTAGAGGTAGCCAGAAAATAACCTAATAACAATGCCGTTGAAGGCAATTTCTTAGGTTTAAAAATGTGCCCTTCTTCTATGCTGGAATAAAAAGCACCAGGTTTCTAATGTCTTTGTGAAAATGTACCTTGTCAAAATGTTCAAGTTCTGCTTGACAACTTCAGGTTTTCCTTTCTCGTGCTGTCTCTTTTGCCCTCTCTAAACCTAGCCTACAATGACACAATCACAGCCAGATCTGAGAAACCTTTCAGGTAAATCCCCTATAAAAATTAGCAAATGCTAGAGCATTTCAGCTCCAGTGAAACTGCACTTCTGTGAAAACACATTTGTTCAAAAAGGCTCCAGTCGGGCGATCAGCAGGTGCTGCGACAGAGTTTTCTTTGAGTTCCTTCACACACCGTGAGAGCTGTTATTAAATGCGACCCTATCTCCTGAGCTCCTCGCAGCTGAAAAGAACTTAGCGCTCCGTTCATAAAGGTTTGCTACTCGGCAGTGCCAAGCGTAAGCATTCAGCGCCTAGCCCCAGAAAGGAATTTGCGATGCCAGATTAAGCACCGAAGTTTCCTGGGCAGTGCATGAGTCTCGAGGTGGATTTCACACTGCCTGGCATGACAGGGGCGAGATGCCTACGCTGCCCAGCAGGAAATGCTGGGGAGAGGAATGCACCGGAGAGCCTCCTCTCTCACAGGGCTGCTCTCCGGGAAAACCCTTCTCCATCCCTTTGAACTGAGGCGTATGGCCCACTCTTAGTAACACAGTGGCAGAGCCAACATTTCTGTATCTTGGTGGTTAGAGAACTCTGCCCATCTGGGCTGCCTTCAACATAAGGCGGCACAAGCAAGTGAAAAATTGACGCTGTGGAAATGTGACTTAGGAGGGATGGGAGTCTGTCCTGGGAAGGTTTACCTGATGCACTCGCTGGATAAGGATGCACAGACGGAGCTCCAGGAGCAAGAACTGGATGCTCCTAATTCCAGTCCCCGAGTCAGGGCGCCTGCAGATAGGTGTGGTGAAGCTGAGCACTGCCACACCTAGGGCCTCTCCTGGATCCGGCCCTCATTGCTTAGCACACGCACGCTTAGAACAGGAGAGGTAATGCCCTAGATTAGCCACACTAGCTTTCCTTTGGTATAACTGAAGGGATTTAAAAATTACATGCATTTGTCCTCATCTACGCTGTTTGCTTGTTTACTGTACTGCAGTCAGCTTAGAAAATTAGTCGTCACCCTTTTTTTTTTTACTTTTTAGATGCCTATGCACTAGCAAAACATCATGAAAGTCAGAATGTACAATCCTACAGAAATTATGTATTATTCTGTATGTATGTGTTTACATGTTTCAAATGGCTTCCCTGTAATCCTTAATAAAACAGAAACTTTTTCACTAGTCTTAGCTTATTCAAGAGTTCTGGCTGTATCTCAACTCAGAAGCCAGAGCAATTTTACAATATTCAACTGGCTGAGCTAAGTTCTTTACCGAACTCTGTATTTTCTGGCTATTACAGTTCACTGTATACTCCAGTGTATCATATTTGAACTCTGTCCTGATTCTGCAAACACCTAAATACATACTCAAGACTCAGCATGCATCTTTAATGCATTAAGATACATGCGTCCTTAATGGATGCAACATACAATATTTCTGCAGGAAGTAAAGAAGCCATAGCACGTCGCTTGGTTAGAGGATCAGGCCCCCAACTACAACGCTACCCGTGGCAGGATGCGAGTACAAATTTTTGTTTTCGCACAATCCTAATTACCTGATCACTAACCAGAATGTGACACCGTCTATTTAAATGTCACAAGCAGAAGTCAAAGTTTTAAGTCTTATCAAAGCATTTTATCAGAATGAGTATGATCATAGTTTTTATGGAAATCTGCGCTGCAAAATCAGACTTCTGAATCAAACAACTGGAGTATGAGTGAACCTTTTTATTTGTTCCCACGGCTTTATTCCTTACATTATCTTCCAGTTAAGAAGATACAAAGTTCACCATTTGCAGAGATTTACTGATTTTTAAATGGCTCTCTAGTACACCTTTATCTGATATTCTTTAGTCTGCAACACTGTACTCATTTTTCTGTTTGGAACATAGAAAGCTAATTAAAAAACATTATGTGTAAGCTACACAAAACAC